CTATCGAAGCAAGAATACTATGAGCGAAGGCATGAGCGAAGAATATATAGCGAAACTACAGTGGTAACGGTAATGGACTGTGGTTGTCGCGTGACGAGCCTGGGACTGAGGTTTGGGAAAGTGTCGAAGCGGAGGCCCGGAGCGCGGGTTACCAGCCGAGCCGTGAGGTTGGGGTGCGATGTGCGAAAATGGCGGGCTGATTGTCGATGCGAGGGTCGCGAGTGGTAACGGTGCTGACTGTGGTGCTATAGTGATGTACGCGTTGAGCAGGGATGCGAAGCAAGGAAAAATGATTTTCCTTACAGGTGTGCATAATCTACGCATGCAATGGATGGCTTTCTCGCAACCCCAGATTTGCTTGGCAATGCGTTTGTGAATGACCCGTTTCCAGACGAGCACTTCGGCATGGAACTGAGGTGAGGTGGAGTGTAGAGACCAGTAAACTTGTAACAGCAGATACTGTAACAGGCGTTTGCGGCAGCCGTTCGCAGACGCTCGATCAGAGGGATGCCGCGACGCGAAACTATTTTGGAAAAGACGCGCCCGAAACAAGACTTATTGTACTGTAATGGGATTCACACACTGTACTGTACTAGTGTCGCCAAAAGCTGCCACTTGCTGTCGGCACCATCGGTTCAGGCACTGTTTTTGCATTAATGAACTTCAGAAAGGGGAATACTATTCAAATCTTGCATCACTGGGGCTTACGGGTGAGAGACACTCTAGGAACTGGAAGGTAGAAATCTTGTTGATGTGTACTTGAATGTTCTGCATCAACGTGTGGGTGCACAGCAGGTTGCGATGGTCTGGTTACGAAGCAGGTGTTGGTTCATGGAAGGAATTGTTTTTGTGGGCTACCCTGAATCACAGCCCTTGAAACTCCAGACCAAGCACTGATGTTCAGGGAATTTCTAGCCCTTTTCCGTCTGTTCTGATAATGTAGGGCCATTTTGTCTGACGCGACGCGGTTTGTGCGATTGAAAATTGCAATGTGTTGATTGGTCTTGGCGGGTAGGAGGGCGGCGGCATCAGCTCCGTTCTGTCGTTACCAATCCAATAAACGAACAACCAGAACAAACAACTCCTCCCCCCCTCCCACCCCACTTGTTGAAAAAAATGAACTCCATCTCCACAAGATGCCCGTTTGACTAACCCAAGGTTGCCCTGTAAAGAGGGCTCTTATGTGATTCTTGCACTTCGGTAATTTTTCGTCAATTCGCACTCAGCAAAAAGGGCTTTTTAGTTTTCTTTTTGTAACTCTTTGTTGACCGTTTGACGTTGGTCTCTTCTGTCAAACTTCCGTTTTTGTGGTTCGTATTGCTCGAGGTGCTTGTAAATGGGGTGCAACTGGCTGGCACCCTAATACACGGGTGCAGAGTTTCCATCGTGGGCAGGGCAAATTCGTGCGCAGGGGCTGGGCATCTTGTGTACCTTGTTTAATGCGGTAGGAGACAGTTGATTATAATGCGTTGTATTGCGGTGGAAAGCGGTACTTCCATGTCCTTTTGAAGGACTAATTTAACCTGGGTTGTGGTCGTTGCTGTCTTCTTCTCTTCGGTCGCTGCAGCATTGGGACCATGTAGTCGTGGACACTGTAGTCTCATGTAAAACCTGCTCACAGCAGCAAGCAACCTACTCGTCGTTCTTGTGTACACATCCTGGTTTCGTCGTTCTTCTCGTCGCCTCGCCATGTCTGGGTTCAGTCTCCAGCACAAGCCACGGCTGTTCTCTATCTCATGCTACGGTCATGCCATCATCACGATTGACACCATAATGCCACATCTGGCATGGCCGAAAAGATTGTCCCGTCCTAGAATCCTATTATTTCCATCGCACGTTCTCTGGTGGGAGAGGACGAACCAGGGGGTGTCTTGACGGTTTACTCCTAGCTCGAGAATCTTCCATGTTTTTCAATCTATGTACGTAACACAGCAGCTTCTTGGGACGCGCTTGTTCACAGCGAAACGGGTTTTTTCCTAGCCCTTTGAGAGATTGCTGTTAAATGTTGACAGACAGACGCGGTTTCGACTTACGTGTAATTAAACCTGCAGTCGAGCCACAGCGTCCGCAGTACTTACTACGGGAAGCCTCGCCGCGTTGCGAGACCGAAGGACGGATCGCCGCCGCACGTAGGACTCCTACGGAAGCCCCGCCGCAGGCGTAGCAAAAGAATTTGCAAGTGCAGAAGCCGCTGTGTTTTAAAAAACAGCCGCTACTACCTTACGGAATTAAATCATCAGAGGAAGAATGGGTTTTGCAGCAGATAGTGGCGCAACCGCCGCGGCATTCCCGTGCGTCGAAACTGACAGACAGATGCTGCCGGATTTTGCCGCCGCCGGCGCTGGTTGGCGTGGCTCGTCGTTTAGCAGCAACGCGACATCGCTCGCACCATCCGCAGCAAGTTGCCGACAGTTGCCGGTTCAGCGGGAGATTCAGGAGCAACGTGACGCTGGTTTTGACGGCCGGCAGGTGGTGCTCGTTGCTCAGCCGGCAAACGACGACTCGTCGTCGGATGAGGACGATGACGCGGCAGAACGCGCGATGCGAGCCGTAGGGCGAGACGCGCCGCCGACGTGCTTGCCGCCGCTTGTGTTTCCCGGAAATATTTCGCAGCGCGACGCGGACGGGAGTAACGGTCATCGGCGTTGCCCCTCCTCCCCAATCATGCCGCTAGCCATGGAGTTTAAGGATTGTGATAATAACGGGAATCCGCGCGCAAAGGCGCTGCGCCGACACGTTCAGGGAGCTCGTAGTGAAGCTGAAGCTTCCTTGGCGGCGAATGCGCCTGTGGAAGTCGCACGGGGAGAGCGACGGTCGCCGAGGTGTCGCACAACGTCGCAGTCGATGCACGACATAACCCACGTCCCAGGTATTAGTACTTGTAAGGCCGAGGCGCTGAATCCGCAGCCTTGGGAGTTTCAGCGGCAGCAGCAGCAGCTGCAGCGGCGTGAGAGTAACGCTAGCAGCACTACAAGTAGCAGTAGTAGAAGCAGAGGAGGCGCCAACCGCGGCGACATGTTTGAGTCGACTCTAGAATCGCAGCAGCGTGAGTGTAACACCGTAACAGCTACAACTGGTCCTACAACTATTAGTAGTCGTCGTAGAGGAGGCGCGAACCGTAACAGCATAAACAGAAGCAGCAGCGACGTGATGACTCGTCTCGAGGCGCACAACCAGCTACGGCGGCGCGCGTACCTGTCGACGCGATCCGCGGCTGCCAGCCAATCATTCTCCGCCGCAGCAGCAGCGGCAGCGGCGATAGTTAGGGCGACTGCGACGGCTGCGACCGCGGCAACGTCTGAGACTGCGGCGACGGCTGCGACCGCGGCGTCGCCTGCGACCTCGGCTGGAATAGCGACTGTTGCGACGGCGACAGCGGCAGTATCGCCAAGAGCCCCAGCGGTTCTCCAGCCAGCTCCGCAATTCTGGGGGTCTCCTCCAACGCCGGTTCTAGCAGCAGACGCGGAAGCAGCGGAAGCCGCCGCCGTTTCGTCCGCGGCGCGGCCGGATGCACCCCGCGGCCAGCGCGTGCTGCGCAAGGCGCAGTCGGAGACGCAGAGGGCCCCGCTGTGGCAGCGCAGTCTCTCCCCCTCCCCCTCCCCGCCCCGCCAGGGCCCCGCTCCGCTGCCGCTCCGCGCCACGAGAGCCCGCCGCCGCCGCGAGTGCCCGCGCCAGCTGTAACAGCAACCGTAGCAGTTGCTGTAGCTGCGCCTGTAGCAGCATTTGTAGCGGCAGCTGTAAGCAGTAACCGTAGCAGCAGCAGCAGCAGCAGCCCTAATTCCGACTCGGTTGGTGCGCCGCGATGCGAGCAGGAACCCCCTGGTGCTACGACTGCCTGGGGACGTTGGCAAGAGTAGCTCTATAAACACTATAACTACTACTGGTGCTGCCGCGTCGCGAGCCCCGCGCGCGTTACGCAAGGCGCAGTCGCTGAACCAGACCGCGTGGACGCGCAACTCCCCCTCTTCCTCCCCCTCCCCCTTCCCCTCCGCGCCGGTACCTTCCGCCGCTCCGCGCCGAGCGGCCGCCTCGGAACCCTTCGCCTTTCCCCCTCCCCTTCCTCCTCCGCCTGCCTCTCCCCTTCCCCGACGCGCTTGCGCCAGCTTCCCCCGCAAAATTGCTCTCCTAGCAGTCAGGCAGACAAAAGGGCAGGCGAACGGGCAGATGAAGAGTTTACTGAGGAAGACCGCGGTTTTATCTTCACGCCATCATACATGTACGCGAAAACCCTCTCCCCAACCGATTTTCTCTGTCGCCTCGGCCGCCGCCCGTTCCCTCGCCACGTGGCAGTCTACCATTGGGGCAAGCTGTCAATTCGCCACGTGGCAGTCTCCCATTTGGGCAAGCTGTCGAATCGCCACGTGGCAGTCTTCCACTGGGGCAAGCTGTGAAATCGCCACGTAGCAGTCTCACGTTCGGGCAATCTCATAGCTATACACGTGGCAGTCTCACGACGGCTGTCACATCGCCACGTGGCAGTCCCCTAATGGTCGCGAATGCGCTGCTGCCGCCCCTCTCTCCGCGGCCGTCCACGGCGCCGCAAGAGTCGCCCCGGCTGCAGCCCCTCCCCGTCGCTTCGCCACGTGGCAGCCTGCCATTGTGGGAAGCCGGGCCCGTGATTCTCGGACAAAAGCAGCGAATGAGAGGCCAGAGCTTCAGCGTGAGCAGCGAGAGTAGAAGCAGCGGCGAGGAGATTTTATCCGGTGCAGCGGCAGCAGCAGCAGCAGTAGCAGCAGTAGCACGAGAGCAGCAACAACAACAGGCAGCAGCGGCGGCAGTGGCAGGTGCAGGTGTATGGGGAGGGGTGGGAGGGGGAGGAGCAGCGGCAGGGGGAGGGGGAGAATCATCAGCAGCCGGCGGGCTGGTGGCGGTATCCCGCGGGGGGCGGCACACGCGGAGCGCGTCAGCCGTGGTGCAGAGCCCCACGCACCCGCTCCCGCCGCTCCCCCAATCAGCTGCTGCCACGTGGCGCAGCTGGGGCCGCGCGAGCATGTCGTGGGTGGGCAGGCGCAGCGCGCAGGGAAGGGCAGGGGCAGCCCCGGAGGGAGGCGGCGAACGGGGGGAGGCTGATCTGGGGAAGGTAGAACTGGGGAAGGTAGAACTGAGGGTGGCGGAAGCGGGGCAGAGGGATGAACTTGGGGAGGTAGAACCGGGCAAGTTATGGCCGTGCAGAGAAGCTGACGAGTGCCAGGCGGCGTTTGACTTGCGTTGACTCACCAGAAAGCCGGACTCAGTTGTCACCGACCGTTGGGAATACCGCCGCTACAGCTGGGGAGGCTTTTGAGGCGCCTCCAAGATCCCCTGGGAATGCTGCTGCTACAGCCGGAATGCTGAGATTGGGAGGAACTGGGAAAGTAACAACGGGGGAAGACGGGGAGATGAGAATGCGGGGAGCTAGCGACCTGAGAACGGAAGGAAGGTCTTCAAGGCGACTGGCCCCTCCTCCTCCGCCTCTCCCTCCGCCTCCTTCTCCCTGCCCTCCTCCTCCCCCTCTCCCCCCTCCTCCCCACCTTGGCTTCTCCTCCTTCCGCCGCCGCGCCTCCTGCCCCTCGTTCCTCTTCGCCCCTCCCCTTCTCCGCGACCTCCTTAGAGGCTTGCCTCGATAACTCGTTAAAGACGCGCCGGACGATTATGTAGACGAGTATTTGGGAGGACCAGGAGGATGGGCCTAGGTCGGGGGAGGAGGAGAAAGCTAAAGGCGGTGATAAACAAGAGGAGCTGGGAGGTGGTTTAGAGGGGGCTAAGAGGTGTGGGAAGGATGGTGAGACGGTTCGGAATGGGGATTTGAGTTTTGAGGTGCCTCAAAAGTCGAGGCATGGCAAGGCTGCTGCTGAAGAGGTTCAGCATGGGGGTTTGTATGGTGAAACGCCAAGAGGAGCAGCAGCGGCTACAGCGCGTCGCAAGTCTGGTGGGGTGGTTGGGCACGGGGAGTTGAGCTTTGAGGAAACGCCAATGCCCATGCCTCAAAAGCAGACGGTTGTGCATGGGGGGGACTTGTATGGGGAGATGCCAGTGCCAAGAGGTGAGGGTAAGAGGGATGGCAAGGCTGGTAAGGCGGCCGGGCACAGGGATTTGTATTGCCACGGAGATCTGTATGGGGGACCATCGATATCGCAGCTATCATCCCCATCCTCCTCATCCTCCTCCTCAGTATCAGAGGGAGCAGCAGTGAGAACAGAAGGGGAGGCAGCAGGGAAGAATGAGTCGGGTGCCGGTCGGATGACAGACGACAGAGCGATTGGCAGAGGGATAGGGAGAGAGAGTGGCAGAGAGAGTGACAGAGAGAGTGGCAGAGACGTAGGCAGATCAGCCCGCAGGAGTATGAGGGGAATCTCTACAGTCCCAGACAGCCCCAGTAGCAGGAGACGTGGGGGCGCGGTGGGCAGTGGCAGACAGTTGGGGTACGGCGGGGCTGTGGGGTCCTTCAGAGATGTTGCCGTGCCTTCAGGCGATATGTGGGACGCTGTGCCGCCACACATGCCATTTGAGGCAATTGATTCGGTTCCAAGTGATTCGGGGTACAGTCGCCGCCGCCGTGCGTCGGGCCAGTTTGACCCCTCGTCTGCAGGCGATGCCGGTGGTGGCTCAGGTCGCTGGAATGGTTCAGAACGGTTCAGTGGGCGTGGGGAGGAGCGTGGTGAGCCTGAGGGGCGGCAGATGAGGCAGCAGCAGCAAAAACAGCAGCCGCAGCAGCAGCAGCAGCAGAAGCAGCAGCAAAAGCAGCAAGAGGATAATGAGCAGCAGAAGCAGAAGAAGCAGCAACAGCAACACGAGCAGCAGAAGAGGCAGGTAGCTAGCCCCCCGCCACTGAAACTAGCAGAGGGGGGAGGTGTGCAGGGGAGCGTGTTGGGGCGTCCGTACGTCTCTCTTCAGAGTCGCTTCGTGGTGGGCAGGCGGGAGATAGGGCGAGGGCAGTTCGGGGTGATCTACAAGTGTGTGCCGCGCGGTGCGCTTGGCGGGGTGGCGTTCGCGTGCAAGACCATCAAGAAGAGGAACATTGAGGTGGGTGGAGGGCACACGTGCATTCAGGTGAATCCTGACCCATTTGCAGCTGCTGCTGCTGCTGCCACCGCTGCCGCTGCCGCAGCTGCTGCTCCCGCTGCTGCTGTCTGCATCTTTGATCCCAGCTGTCTGTCTTCTCCTCTTGCTCCCTCCCACTCCCCTCCCCGTGCCCTCCCCTGTCCCCTCCAGACCCTCCCAGCAGCAGAGGACATTCAGCGGGAAGTAGAAGCACTGGAGAAAGTGAGAGGCCATCCGGCGTGAGAGGACCCCCCACGCCGTGCACCTGGTGATGCAGCTGTGCCGCCACGGAGACCTCTTCGACCATGTCAAGACGCGCACGCGCCTTCCAGAGCCCACTGCTGCTACTGTCTGCATCTTAATCTCAGCTGTCTATCTTTCCTGCCCGCTCCCTCCCGCCCCTCCCCCATCCCTCCCCAGACCCTGCCCGCAGCAGAGGACATTCGGCGAGAAGTAGAAGCACTGGAGAAAGTAAAAGGGCATCCGGGCATTGTAGAGCTGCACTCTGTCTTTGAGGACCCCCAAGCAGTGCACCTGGTGATGCAGCTGTGCCGCCATGGGGACCTCTTCGACCATGTCAAGATGCGCACACGCCTCCCCGAACCCACCGCTGCGTGCATTCTGTCGCAGCTGCTGCACGCGCTGCAGCACTGCCATGACTTGGGCGTGATTCACCGCGATGTGAAGCCGGAGAATGTGCTGATATATGCAAGGGGATGGCGGCGGCGGGGACGGGGAGAAGGTTCTTGTGAAGCTGGGGGACTTTGGAGTTGCAACCCGATTTTCCCCGGTTAAGAAGCGCCGCCATATGTGGTGCTACTATAGCAAGTGGTGCACAAGATTAAGCCCGACTCAGCTGCTTCTTCATTCATTTGTGTCTCTCTCCCTCCTTGGACTTGTCTTTTTGGGTTCCAGGCACACCCTACATTGCTTGTGTTATTCATTGGTTCCCTCTCCCCATATTGGACTTGCCTTTTTTTCCGTTCCAGGCATGCCCTGCATGGACCCAGTGGGAACGGCCATGTACATGGCGCCGGAGCTGCTGCAAGGCAGGTACGGGCCGGCAGCAGACGTGTGGAGCGCCGGCATCGTGCTCTATGTCATGCTCTCCGGGGCTCTTCCTTTCTTTGCCACCAAGAACCGCACGCTGGTTGAGGCGATAATGCACGGGCCGGCTCGCATGGAGGGGCCGCGGTGGGAAGGAGTGTCGGAGGGAGCGAAAGCGGTGGTGCGGAGGATGCTTGAGAAAGATCCAGAGGAGAGGGCAACGATACAACAGATTCATGGTGAGTGTTTGGTAACAAAGTAAAATACATTCAGTCTCTAGTTGCTCAGGTTTGCTAAACGATTTGATTTTACTTAAACCTTCAAGCGCTTGCTCATTTTGTGCCTGTGGAAAATGCAGAGTTTCCCTGGATGAAGAAGTACAACATTTGAAGGAGTATGGGCATCTGTACAGAAGAATTGTATGGGCTCTTTTATATATGATATATAGTATGATTTGAGTTGGATGAGTTTTGTTTCCGTGGTTCAAATTCAAGGAATTTCAGTTTGATTCCACGCCTTCGGTTTCTCGTTACTGTACTGTATACGACAAGATCTGGGGCCTTCCAACCAATCTGTTATTCGCGTCCATTCCACTAGTGAATCTGCCGTCAAACTTCAGGTACCTCGAGAACCTCTACCTGAAAGCAGCACTCCCTGACGAAAACTCCACGATTTCATAAGTATGGTAACCAGTTTCGTTGTACCTGGGAGCTGGTTTCAGGTCCTGCAGGCGAAGCCATAGTGACTGTTCCCAAGGGCCAAACCAGCTTCGTCAGGCTGTGAGGCGTGTGCAGGAAATGTGCACAAGCCAACAGACGGACCCACCTCCCCTTTCCCACCCACACCGCACCAGCATTCAGCACAACAATGAATGAACAGTTGAGCATTTAGGCAGGGGAGGGGAAGCAGAGACAGCAGATCGCGACGAGAGAGAGTTGGTTTTCAGAGTTGTGGTTCAAAGTGGTGGTTTGAAACGCCGCCCTAAAGAGCAGATCATCGTACTCAACCGCTTTGAATGAACAGAACCGCTCGTTTTTTTTCCTGAATATTTGACGTCCTTAGTTGCAAAGCCGCCTCGGGGAACTAACAGAACACGGAGTTCTAATCACAAGGACTTTTAGGTCGGCGCTTACCAGTCCAAGCGGTTAGCGACGTTCGTAGGAGGCGGAGAGCTGGAATGGACGGGAAAGGCTCTAGGCGAGACTGGTTTGGGTCTATTTTCCGCATTGACCTTGTTTCGAAATAGCATTCAACGATTTGGATGCGAGTGAAACGATTCGCGCTCCCTTGAATAACAAGATGGACGGGAGCCATTTAACTGCAGAGTATCAAAGTGACCGAGCCGCACCGCGGCTCGTATCACTAGGCCCAGCGGCGCGGGATGCGGCGCAGGATGAGTACGCCCTGGCGGACGATCATCGGTCGCAGGGCGACGTCGCAGAGTGGCCGTCGGCTCTCGACCAGCTGTCGCAGCCGAACTCGTTTCGCGCGGACGACTGGGACCTGGAGCAAGGCGACAGCCGAGATCCCGACGGCGAAATCGGCGAGGAAGCCGGTATTTGCGACAGCCGAATCGGCCGCGGTGCCAGCGGGAGAATGGGGCAGTCCGCCGGCGCGAGCAGGAGGGGGGAAGGCGGGGATAGCATGATACGCGGAGAGAGAGGCGGAGAGAGGGACGATGGGGGATATAGAGGCAGCGCTAGAAGCGGAAGGAGCGAGGGGGGGGCTTACGTAGTCGAGATGGACATGGGTAGGCAGGAGACTCTTTCGCATGGCCTCGCGGACATGCCGGATGGTAACCCGGTAACCATAGCGACTGCCAGAGGCTTGGCCGATGGCGATGCCGCCGCGAGAGGCGGTGAGAGTGAGAGCAGCGGCGACTCGTACCGTGACGCGGAGAGCTTCTCGTCTTCTGGCGAGTCTAGTCTTAACGAGTACGGGCAGGAGGGCGACGAAGACGAGAGTCTCAGCAGCCACGCAGGGGACGAGGAGGACGAAATCGGGGAAGCCTATAACGGGGCGAAGAGGAGCACGTGGCCGTTGGTGATTAGCATGCGGGAGTTGGGGTGGTGGCAGCAGGTCGTGCTGGTGCTGCTGGTGGCGGTGGGACTGACGGGAGTGTCAGCTGCCATGCTTTTCGCGGCCAAAGTGGGCGACTTGCTCTTTCTGCCGGCGCCTGTCTGGCCCCCTACGGGCCTCGCGCTCTTCGTTGTCCTCGTGAGCTCTCTCTCCCACTCCTTGGTACCACAGGGTGTTCTTCTCTTTGGATTTTGCTGTCGTCACGAGCGAGCGCTCCCTTCACTTGGTTCCTTCGACAGGGTGTTTCCGAGAATCCCTTAATAAGGGACGTTCTCCCTCACCTACAAATCATTCGGTCTAGCCAAATCTTGTGCTCCGTTGGCCTACCTCTGCCCTATCCCCAACCCCATCCCTCCCCCCAACAGGCACTGGGTTACCGCATGGCCGGCTCTTTTCCTCGCAGGCACGGCCCTCTCCCTCACCTACGAATCTGGGACGGTCTAGCCAAATCTTATGCTCCGTTGGCCTGCCTCTGCCCTATCCCCAACCCCTTCCCTCCCCCCAACAGGCACTGGGCTATCGCATCTGGCCGGCGCTCTTCCTCGCAGGCACAGCCCTCTCGCTCACCTACGGCGCACTCCACGTGACCCTGCCGCGCCTGCACCTCGTCCTCTACTCCCTCGTGATCGCCACAGACCGCACGCTCTTTGTGCTCCTCCTCGCCTTCTTCCTCATGCGCTTCCTCCGCCGCCAGCCCACCGACCTCACCCCACTCGACCGCGTGTCCAACACCTTCCGCCTCTTCTTCTTCTCCTTCCTCATCTCCTTCATCTTCGAGGGCATCGTGTCGATCGTTCTCTCTCTTATCGGAGCCGAGACGCCGGAAACCGCGGCCATTACTGGGTGCTTTCGGACGCTGGCGAGCTTTTCAGGGATTATTCTCACGATGCCGTTACTTATGCAAGTGTCGGTGTGGAAACCTTTTCCAGCAGCATCAGCATCAACAGCAGCAGCACAAGTCCAGCCCAATTCTCCTTCTCCACATTCCCCATCCCATCCGCCCTCCCTCTCCTTCCCTTCCACACAAATCTGGTCACGCTTCCTCTGCCACCTCCTCTCCACCCCCAAGAGCTGGGAATTCCTTGCTCTATTCCTCCTCAACACAGGCATCTCGCTCCTCATTTTCGCCCCAGGAGCCAGCCCGCTCATCGTCTCCCTCCCCTACATGCTCTTCCCGGGGGTCCTCTGGGCAGCGGTTAGGTTTAACCGCCACGGGTCGGGCCTCATACTGCTGCTGGTGGTGCTGATCGCGTGCTGCTGCACGGCGAGAGGGTGGGGCCCGCTGGTGAGGGAGAAGGCGAATGAGACGATTCTGCAGCTGCAGGTGTTTGTGGTGACGGTTGGAGTGGTGGGGGTGGTGGTGGCGGCGGCTGTGAGGGACACGAATCGGCTGAGGAAGGAGCTGCGGCGGCTGAATGCACGGTTGGAGGGGGAGGTGCAGCGGCGGACAGAGCAGATCAGGCAGTATAACGAGGTGGGCTGGGTTACACGTCTGTGTGTTGGGTGACCTGTGTAGTGACTGGAACGAGGTGGGACGGGTGACACCTGAGTAGCTCAAAGGTCACACACTTCCCGTCTGAATCCGCCATCGTCCCAGCATCATTGCTCTCCGCCATCCTTTTCATGCAAGTTCTGATTTTAAGCTGATGATTGGTTCAATCTGGCTCTCTAAGAAAACTCTCTAGCTCACAGTTAACCAGGCTCCTCCCTTCATTCATTCAATGGCGTTTGTTCCGTCGTATTAAGAACCATTCGGGTTGATGGAAAGAAGACCTCCGCAGCCCACCTTTCCGCTACTGACAGCGGTCACACACTTCCCGTCTGAATCCGCCATCCTGCCAGGCCAGCATTTTTGCTCTCTGCCATCCTTCTGTCCCTCCTCCCCTCCCTCCCCCCCTCCCACTGTCCGGTTACAGGATCTGAAGAAGTCAAAGGAGGAGTTGGAGGAGGCGGGGAGGGCCAAGACGGAGTTCCTGGCCAACATGAGCCATGAGATCCGGTAACGCCCTGCCTGCCCTTCTGCTGCGTAGAAAGTTAGATACACTGACACCCTACTGCCTGAGTGATTCTGAGTGATGTCTAGGTTCACGTCTTCCCCTGCATGCTGGAGGAGGCGGGGTGGGCCAAGACGGAGTTCCTGGCCAACATGAGCCACGAGATCCGGTAACGCCTGCCGTCATGCCATGCCACTGGCAAAGTTCCATGCCACCCATACCATTCATGCGGCCCCTTCACCCCATCTCATTCCTCTTCCATCCTCGCTCCTCTCTCCCCCCCCCACACCCCAACAGCACGCCCATCCACGGCTTCATCGGCATGACAGCCCTGGCCATGGGCACTCTCGAGTCCCTGCGAGCTGCTGCCCGTACCATCTTGCCCCTGTTCCTTCACCCTCGAGTCCCTCCGAGCCATTCCCCTACCGCCCATACCATCCGGGAGAAGGGGCGATGTCTGCCCATACCATCCGGACCCTTCCTTTTTCCTCACCTCCTCATTCCCCTCCCATGCCCCTCTCCCGCCCCTCCCCTTCTTCCCAACCTTCCACCCTATCCCCCCAGCACGCCCATCCACGGCATCATCGGCATGACAGCGCTCGCCATGGACACCCTCGAGTCCCTCCGAGCCATCCCACTGCCGCCCATCCCTCACCACTCCTCCTCCCACTCTGCCTCTGCCGCCGCCGCCGCTGCAGCAGCAGCGGCATTAGCGGAGCGGAGCGATCTAACGGTGGAGGTGCATGAGCATCTGACGGTGGTGGCTCAGTCGGCCGATTGTCTGCTGAACATCGCCAACACTGTGCTGGACCTTGCCAGGATAGAGGCCGGACAGCTGGCTCTGGATAAAGTCCCGTTCCGGCTGCGGGACGTGGTTGGTTCGACCATGAGAATGCTGCAGGTGAGTCCATTGCTTGGTGGTTTCAGAGGTGCTGGTGGTGCTCTGTCTCTGGCTGGCAGTGCTGCTAGTTTGGGTGGAGCGGAGCGATCTAACGGTGGAGGTGCATGAGCATCTGACGGTGGTGGCGCAGTCAGTGGACTGCCTGCTCAGCATCGCCAACACTGTTCTAGACCTTGCAAGAATAGAGGCGGGGCAGGCAGCTGGCGCTGGATACAGTGCTGTTCAGATTGAGGGATGTGGTGGGTGGGGTCGAGTCGACCATGCGCATGCTGCAGGTGAGTGGCTTCACGGGGATTCACAGGTGGTGGGTTCACAGGGATCTGCTGCTGAGCATCGCCAACACCTTGCTGGACCTTGCAAGAATAGAGGCGGGGCAGGCAGCTGGCGCTGGATACAGTGCTGTTCAGATTGAGGGATGTGGTGGGTGGGGTCGAGTCGACCATGCGCATGCTGCAGGTGAGTGGCTTCACGGGGATTCACAGGTGGTGGGTTCACAGGGATCTGCTGCTGAGCATCGCCAACACCTTGCTGGACCTTGCAAGAATAGAGGCGGGGCAGGCAGCTGGCGCTGGATGCAGTGCTGTTCAGATTGAGGGATGTGGTGGGTGGGGTCGAGTCGACCATGCGCATGCTGCAGGTGAGTGGCTTCACGGGGATTGCCTTGCCTGCTGAACATCGCCAACACCGTGCTGGACCTTGTGAGGATAGAGGCGGGGCAGCTGGCGCTGGATAAAGCGCCTTTCCGGCTGCAGGATGTGGGTGGGTTGGGTATACTATGCGCATGCTGCAAGTGAGTGCTGGCGGATCCACCACGCACATGATCCATCCGTATGGTGGTGCTGCTGGTAGTGCTGCAGGCAGTGCTGGTTTGGTAGCCGATGCTTGCTTGATACAGGGTTTCAATTCTTTTCCTTCCTCCCTGTTGTGGAAGCAAGAATGTCCTAGTGGGTACCTTTGGTCTTAGTGGTCGCGGGTTCAACTCTCATCGGCAGCACCTTCTCTTCTCATTATGCCGAACATGACACTCCTACACTCCACCACACTCACCCACAGTGAAGTGTGGTCACAGTTGGCATTGCCATCTGTCCACCCATCCCATACTCACCTTGTTGGCTCCTATGGTGTGCCACATGCTGCCATGTAGGCTGTTGTTCCAGCCTGGCCCACATGTGCAACATGTGGCCTCAATTGCTAGCTTGGCAAGGTTGGCTAGCCCTGCCCTCAGCTTTGAGGTGCTGCAGCTAGCCTCAAGAGTTCAGCCACATAAATGTGGCTTCCCACTTCTCTAGAACTCATCCTTGGAAAGGACATTGCTCTAGCCTTTCAGGCTTGTACCATCTTCCTACTAAGGATATATTGTTCTTCTCTCATTGGGCCTCAAGTTCACCGATCCTCATTCTACATGCTATCAGAGCAAGGCTTCTAGCTTAGTGAACGTTGCACACTTCATGGCTCAAGTTGAAACGCCTCTCGGTCGGCACACCCTTCCCATCTTGGAACCAGATGGTTCCAACTTCATTCCATGGAAGAAAAAGATCTGCTACATCTTCAATGTCCTCGGGCTGATCTCCCTCCTTGGAGATCCCAAGGTTGCTTCGCGTCCTTCAATCTCCTCTTCCACAACCAGCGGTGGAGAGACTACCGAAGGCAACAGCGGTGCAGCCCCTAAGACAGCCCATTCGATTGCTTCGCTGCCGGATGAAGAAAAAGAGGAGCATGCATACTATCTTCTCATGTCAGCCGTCCATCCTCAACTATCGCTCACTCTTGCTCAAGCCAACACGACAAAGGATATGTGGGGATGCATCATGGCGCGGTTCGACTGCATGGGCAACCATGCACAAGTGGCTCTCCTCCGGGATCTCATCACTACACGGATGGACCCAACAACAAGTCTTCGCTCCTACTTTGATCGAGTTGGAAACCTTACACACCAACTCAAATCTGCCGGCTTTGAGCTACCATCATGGGTGGTGGTAATCTCCATCATCCTCAACCTTCCGGACTCGTTCAAGACCCTTACTGAAACCATTTGCACCGTGAAAGACATAAAGTCTATGACGGTTGAATACCTACAGTCACGCCTACTCGATGCCGATTGGGAGCGGTCACAATCTGGTACAAGCCGTAACATGGAGGGTGCATACAACCTCAATTCCCAGCCCTCCCACCCTCTTCGCTCCGGTTCACGCCAGTCGCCCACCTGCCGTTACTGCAAGAAAACGGGTCACACCATCGATGAATGCTTCAAATTGAAGAAGAAGAAAGAGCTTGAAGAAAGCTCTAAACGGGAGAAATCCGTCTTCCAACCCTCGGTGCATGTCTCCACCAGCTCCTATGCTGAAGCTACTCCGACCCCCACACCCCCTCCTGCCCCATCAACCCCTCAGTCCGTACCTGATTCCCGGTACGTGGACATTGCTGTCAGCACCAGCCACCACCCCATCTTCTCCACATGGACTCCTCTCGTCGCTGCTGTCTTCATTCTCACCATCCTCCTTCTCCTCCTCCTCTTCCCTTATGGGGCTCCCTACGCATCGGCATTCACGGCCTCCTCATTCAATATGGAGCGGACTTCGTCGTGGCTGGTGGACAGCGGCGCATCCTCCCATATCTGCTCGGATCGTTCGCTGTTTTCGTCTCTCAAGAAGTCCAACGAAGAGATCCTTGTTCGTTTTGGTGGAGGAGAGACTTACAAGGTCTTGGGAGTCGGCACGGTGGTGGCTACTCTTCGGTCACCAACATCGGAAACCACCATTCAGCTTGACAACGTTCTATTTCTCCCTTCATCAGTTCACAAGCTGCTCTCTGTTCGTGCGCTTGGTGCTGCCGGCGTTGCCGTCTCGTTCCCCGCTGCTGGGCGCGTTGTTCTCACATCTGATGACGTTCCTATTGGCGAGGGCTACACCCGCAACAATCTGTTTTATCTTCAACTGCATCATGGGAGCAGTGCTGCTCCTTCTATCAAGCCAACTGCATGTCCAGCCTCCACCACCACCTCCTCGTACCTCTGGCATCGTCGTTTCGGGCATCTCAACATGCAGGCCTTGTCAACACTTCATCGGCAGCAGCTGGTCACCGGTCTTCACCTCTCCTCCACCTCGATTCCCCCCTGCATCTCGTGCTATCGTGGGAAACAAACACGTCAGCCATTTGGCGTGTCCCATTCTCGCACCACAGCCCCACTCCAACTCATTCACTCAGATATTGCTGGACCGCTTTCATATGAAAGCGGTAGTAGTCTAGCAGATGCTTCTTAGGGGCACTCACACCCACTTCTTCCTCTCGTTCCGCCCTCTGTCTCCCCCCCCCCCCTCCTCCCTGGCAGGTGCGAGCAGAGCAGAAGCAGCTGGCGTTCTCATGGCATGTGGCGGAGAAGGTACCTCTGGATCTTATGGAAGCAGATGCGCGACACGGGCATTCAGACGGTCACACTCACTCCTTCCTTCCGTTCCTCCCCATGCCTCTCTCCCCTCTCTGCAGGTGCGCGCAGAGCAGAAGCAGCTGGGCTTTTCATGGCACGTGGCGGAGAAGGTGCCTCTGGAGCTCATGGGGGACCCAGGCCGGCTGCAGCAGTGCCTCATCAACCTGGGTAAGCAGGCTCATAACTCTCTCCCATCAGCTGCTGTTGGAATGCTGGCTGGATCAATTCTTGCTATCTCAACTCTCTCCCAAAGCGCCGCTCGAGCTCATGGGGGACCCAGGCTGGCTGCAGCAGTGCCTCATCAACCTGGATAAGGAACTTAATAAATGCTCTGCGTGTCAGTCGCGGACAGGTGGGCTGCAAAGGCCTTAGCCTTACTTCTATCAGCTCCCCTGTTGTTCTAGGACAACGAAACGAACCCCATGGGTTTGGTGAGAGAGGGGAGTTGAGATCTCCCTGCTCTTCCGCAGCAGCATATTTTTTTCTTGACAAACATCTCCATTTTCCCTCCCTCTCCCTCCCCTGCCCATCTCTGCCCACAGTGGGCAATGCAATCAAGTTCACAGAGACAGATTCGGTGACCCTCGAGATCTCCCTGCTCTTCCGCAGCAGCACCCGTGTCCTCACAAACGTCTCCATCTTCCCTCCATCCTCCTCCTCTCCCTTCCCCTGCTTATGCCATCCCTTCCCCTCCCCATCCCTCCCCCAGTGGGCAATTCGATCAAGTTCACAGAGACAGGGTCAGTGAGCCTCAAGATCTCCATGCTCTTCCGCAGCAACAGACACCACATATCCTCACGAACATTCCCAATTTCCCCTCCCTCTCTCTTCTTCCCCTCCCCATCCCTGCACCAAAAACAATGCAATCAAGTTCGCAGAGGCAGGGTCAGTGACCCTCAAAGTCTCACTGCTGGTCCACAGCAGCACCCATATCATCATTAGCATCCCCATATTCTAAAACCCTTCCCTCTTCCCCCACCCCTTCTTTGACCCCCAGTGGGCAATGCGATCAAGTTCACAGAGACAGGGTCAGTGACCCTCGAGATCTCACTCCTCTTCCGCAGCACCCGGCACCAGCAGCACTGCCAGAAGCAGGGGCAGCGGCGCAAGGACCGGCAGCAGCGCCACCACCGCCGCCACAAGTCATGTATCTCCAACCTTGAAGAGGAAGGGCCAGGGCAGGCGCAGGGGCAGGGGCAGGCGCAGGGGCAGCGGCAACAGCGTCACAGCCATCAGAAAAGGCAGCGTAAGGCTGTTCCCAGGTCTATGACTTGCCCTGCTACCCCCAGCACTCCCGCTGGTGCTGGTGGTGTGGGTTCTCTGGCTGCAGCTGCTGCTGCTGCTGCCGCCGCAGCAGATGCGTCACGCCGGCCCCAGTCAAGGGAAGGCGTTCTTTTGTCTGCTTCTGATAAGATTCCTGGAAGTTTCCTCGCGTTTCTGGGGAGGTCCTTCACCAGGAGGAGAGGAGACGGCAGGAGGGAGGAGAGGGAAGGGGAGAGGGAGGAGGAGAGGAGAGGGTGGGAGGGAGGAGAAGAGAGAGTAAGACCAGCATCGAGTGATGCGTATACTCGTCGTGGTGGAGGCGGTGCTGCTGCTGCTGCACTAGGCGATGGCTGTGGCGCAGCAGCAGCACAATCATCACAACTGTCACCATCGGGAGGAGGAGCAGCAGAGGCAGCAGCAGCAGGAGTAGCAGAGGCAGATGCTACCGCCCCCAGGCCCACCTGTCCAGACGCTAGCTCAGGCTGGCACTCCGACCCTCCCAGCCGCCCGACCTCCTCCCACCGGTCCACGCTCGGCAGGTCCGGTAGCCGCCGAGCCTCCCTCTTTGGTCCGGGTAAGAGAAGCCGACGTGGCAGCCAGGAGTTGGCTGAGCTGGGAGGTGGGGTAGGGATATACCAGTGTCTTGGTTACGAGGCTGGTGATTGGTCAGAACCCTGGGCAGGGGGAGAGGGACGCACAGATAGCGGGGAGGAAACAGGGGACTTGGGAGGGGTTTGGAGGAGTGGGAGGAGGCAGGAGAAGAGCTGGGGCCGGGGGTCGAGAAGAGGGGGAGAGGGAGGGGGGGTGTCGGCTAGAGGAAGAGGGAGTGAGGGAGTGGTGGAGTGTGGGAGTCTGTCAGATGGGGAGTCGTTTCCTAGAGAGAGGGGTAGAGGTAGGAGTATAGAGAGGGGTGTAGGGAGAGGTGGCGATGTGGACAGAGACGAGGAGAGGGATGAGGAGGACTTGCAGGTGCCTGTGTCTCGAACGCGCTCCAGTGAGACTCGCAGCAGGCGGGTTGACTTCTTAGATGTTGGGCTGGCAGGCAGCGGGAGAAGCAGCGGCAAGTGGAGCGAAGGGGGACTGAGCAGCCGCAGGGGAGGAGCTGGGTCGCGGGCCGGCAGTGGGTTCTTCTCGCGGGCAAGAGAAGAAAGAGAGAGGGAGAGGGATAGTGATCACGAGTTGGGGTCGCCACACCCACAGAGAGTCCTGGATTTTAGAGACCTAGGGGAGGCAGACGAAGCTCATGGCAAGCCGTCCTTTCTGGGTGCCATGCAAGCGTGCACACCCCCCATGCTCTCCCCCATGGCCCGCGCTCTCCCCCCACCGCAACCCACCCTCTCTCGCCAATCCATGCCGGCCCTCGCATCCGCTTCCGCACCTGTTTCCGCGCCTGGCTCCGAGCCTCGCTCCGTGCCCGAGCATGCGCTCGCCCCAGGCTCGGCTCCCGGACCTCTGGTGTCGCAACGGAGCAATGTGTCCCAAGCGAGTGATTATTCCTCTGTAGTGGAGTTAAGCCGAAACAGCAGTGCACGGTCCCATGCTAGAGGCCAGGGTTTCGGGTTTAGACCATCTGAGGCATCTCAAGCTCAGTCTTTGCTCTATACCGGGTATACTCCCCAAGGGAAGGCGTATGCTGGGAATTTTCCGGGTGTTCAGCCCTTGGTTTACACACCTGAAGGGACAGTGTTGGACCGGACCGAGAGTGACAACCTGGCAAGGGTGGTGGGTGCAGAGCAGTTGGAAGGGTTTGGGAGGAGTAGGAGTGTGCGGGTGCAAGAGGGGCGGGGGCAGGGAGGAGTGAGGCCGAGAGGTGGGGGGAGGTATTTTTACTCGCAGCAGCACCAGAGGCAGCCTAGGGAGGGCCGCGGGGGGGAAGGGGGAGGCGGGGGAGGGGTAGCAGGAGGGGGAGGAGCAGGAGGAACGGGGAGAGGGGAGGAGGGGGGGAGGGGGAAGCGTGGCGCCGGTATGAGTGTGGGAATGAGTATAAAGAACATGCTGTGGGGGCAGTCATCTAATGTGAGCACCCAGCGGCTTGATACTAGTGACGAGGAGGAGGAGAGGGAAGGAGAAGGGAGGCGAGGAGGAGGGAGGGAGAGGGAGGGAGAGGAGCAAGATGAGGAGGAGGAAGGGGAGGAGGGGAGTGAGGGAGGGGGGTCGGTGTGGCTGATGGTAGCTGTGAAGGACACGGGGATTGGGATCAGCCGGGAGAAGCAGGGAGATATTTTCCACAACTTTGTGCAGGCAGACACGTCAAGCACGAGAGTGTATGGCGGCATCGGGCTTGGTCTCAGCATCGTGCAGAGGTGAGAGCGGGGCAGAGGAGAGGGGACGGGAGAGGGATGAATCGGGGACACATCCTGCACGAGAGAGAGTGTATGGCGGCATCAGGCTGGGTCTCAGCATCGTGCAGAGGTGAGAGCGGGGCAAGGGAGAGAGGTATGTGTGGTGGGGAGTAGGCGACGAATGGGCACACACGTTCAGCACGTGGGTGTATGGCGGCATTGGGATGGGGCTTGGGCTTGTCATCGTGCAGAGGTGAGAGGGGGGGAGGGAACACCTTCAGGTTTAGGGTGCTTTTGAGTCGACTCAAAAGCAGGTGAGAGGGGGGGAGGGAACACCTTGAGGTTTAGGGTGGCTGGGGCTCCATCTTCTAAGGGTGGCTGGGGCTCCATCTTCTAAGGGTGGCTGGGGCTCCATCTTCTAAGGGTGGCTGGGGCTCCATCTTCTAAGGGTGGCTGGGGCTCCATCTTCTTAGGGTGGCTGGGGCTCCATCTTCTAAGGGTGGCTGGGGCTCCATCTTCTTAGGGTGGCTGGGGCTCCATCTTCTTAGGGTGGCTGGGGCTCCATCTTCTTAGGGTGGCTGGGGCTCCATCTTCTTCTTACTCACAGCTCCCCCTCGCTCTAACCCCCCGTCATCCCTATGTTACATTCCCTCCCTTCTCCCCGCCCCCCAGTCTGGTGTACATGATGGGGGGCGAGATCTGGGTGGAGAGTGAACCCAGGCGCGGCTCCGCTTTCTTCTTCACAGCTCGCCTCAATCCTCAATGACCATTCCTCTGCCCCTCTCTCCCCCCACATCCCAGTCTGGTGCACATGATGGGGGGCGAGATCTGGGTGGAGAGTGAACCCGGCCGTGGCTCCTCTTTCTTCTTCACGGCTCGCCTCAACCGCACGCCCCCCGGCTCTGCACCCATCTTCGGCAGCGGCCTCACCGCTTCTCTCCTCCCCGACCCTGTCCCCGCCTCGCCCTCCCACCTCTCCTCCCCCACACGCTCCGTTTCCGCTGCTCCTCCTTCCGAGCATCACCACCAGCACCAGCACCAGCTGCAGCATCAGCTACAGCACCAGCACAGCCACCATCAGCAGCAGCTGGAGCAACAGTACCAGCAGCACGCACAGCAGCAGCAGATACATCAACAGGGTCCCGCTGATCTATCCGGCCCACGGCACCACCACGGGTATCCCTCAGATATGCATGCGGGTATGGCTAGCCTCCGCAGCAACCTACCACTGGACATCCCTGCCACCCCAGGCTCCAGCCACGGGGGCAGCGGCAGACGCCCCTCCTCCCGAGGCGGCCCTGGGGGAGGCTTATCCAGGGTGGGTAGCAGCTCGGGCAGGGCAGACCGGCTGCGAATGGGGAGTTCAGGAGGAGGAGGAACAGGGGGAACAGGAGCAGCGGGTGTGGTGGATTATTCTAGTCCGAGATCTCAGCTGATAGGGGCGCTGGGTATGGGTCTTCCCCTGGTGCTTCCAAGCCCTATGGCATACCCTGGTGGTCCTGGCACGCGCAGTGGGAGGTACTCTAACCTTGCTTCTCCTTCCCCCTCTGCCGCCCACAACGCCACTGCCGCACCGTTCAGCATGAAATATGCACCGCTCTCCACCCCTTCCCCCCGCTCTGCGGGCATCTGGAGGGATCTAGAACCTTCCCCTCTGTGGTCCAGACCCTTGAGTAGGGAGGGGCGGGCTAGGGCAACACGAATGGCGCCTGGAGGTTTTGGAGGGGGAGGAGGGCGAGGTAGCTGGCTGGGGCAGAGTGTGGGAGGGGATTCGGGGTCAGGGGGAGGGGATTCGGGGAGAACGGGTTCAAGGGGAGGGGATTCGGGTTCGAGAGGAGGAGATTCAGGGAGTAGGGGGTCAAGAGGAGGGGACTCGGTGGCAGGGGAGGTGGTAGAGGTGACCGTGTCTGGTGCTGCTGGTATGGCCACTGCTGCTGCCGTCTCTGCTGCCGTTGCAGCGGTCGATGCTGCTGCTAACGCTGCTGATAATGCTAGTAGAGCTTCTGAGGCTGCTGCTGTGGAGGGGGGAGGAGGAGCAGCAGCAGCAGCACAGTCCTCGGCACGAATACCACTAGTGGGAGCAGCAAGGCTGAGCGTGGGCGTCAGAGGAGGCACACTCAATGCCTCGAATTCCTATAACGACTCGTCCGGAGCGTCATCCCCCTCGGATGATGCATTTGACTTCAACATGTTTAACACGCAGATGCGCGCCAATGTCGCCCTGCCCTCCCCCTCAGCCACTGCTGCTGCTGCTGCTGGTGCTTCTGCTGGTGCTGGTGGTGCTGGTGGTGGTGCTGGTGGTGGTGCTGGTGGTGGTGCTGGTGGTGGTGCGGCAGGTGGTGTGTCACGGTACTACCACTCCATGCCCATCTCCCCCACGCCCATCCGCTCCCACTCTGCCTCTGCTGTGCCTCGAGCGGTAGCAGTGGCACCATTAACAGCAGTAGCGTCAGTGGCAGCAGCAGCAGCAGCAGCAGGGGCACCAGTGCCGCGTGCACTGGTATCAGCGTCAGCAGGAGCTTCACCAGCTGCAGCAAGCTCAGCAGCAGCAGGAACAACGGTGTCAGCCGTGGCTGCAGCAGTGCCCCCGCGATCACAGTCACACCATGCCCCCTCCGCGTCCACCATCCCTGGCATCGCAGGCGTCACAGGGATCAGCCTGCTGGATGACTGGGGGTTCATGGCCCCTCCGCCCGTTTCCCACAGCATGCCCACCCTCTTCCCCCTGCCTGCCTCTGCCTCTGCGTCTGCTTCTGCCTCTGCTGCTGCTTCTGGTGCTGCCGTCCCATCAACGTGGGTCCCCTTTGGTGCTGCTGGTAACTCGCAGCCGCACCTACTGCAGCAGCACTTGATGCAGCCGCACCTACTGCATCAGCACTTGATGCAGCCGCACCTACTGCAGCAGCACTTGATGCAGCCGCAGCAGCAGCAGGTGGGGGGGCAGGTTGGGTCCCGCCACAGGGCCAGCAACAGCTGGTGTCCGGAACTAGGAGCTTCCGCTGCTGCTGCTCTTGCACCCACCGCTGCTGCTCCCAACTGTCCTCCTATCAGTGGCGTTCACGGGGTGGGCGGCAGTGCAATCGGCGCTGCTGCTGGTGCTGGTGGTGCTGCTGCTGCCGCTGCTGGTGGTATCGGAGGTGCGATGGGCAGTGGGGCGGTATCAGATCCGTCGCTCTATTCCCAGTTGGTGTCAGGCAATTTCGATCTTCTCACAGGAGGCTATTCCCCTCCTCCCAACAACGAATCCTTTTCTTCCTTCCTCACCACCTTCGCCTCTGGCCCTGACCCTCCACGCTGTACTGGTGCACCTAGTATGTCTGCCGCACTGCCAGTCGCGCCAGCAGCACCAGCTGTAGCGCCAGTTCCTTCTGCTGATGTAGCACCTGTTGCTGTAGCGCCTGCTGCTGCTGGTGGTGCTGCTTCCCCACCTGCCGCTGCAGCCTCAACATCGGCCTACGTTGGTGCAGAGGCCAACTCAGCCCCTGCTGCTGGTGGTAACCTGGGCTGCAGCGGGAGGGGCAGTGGGGTCGGCGGTGGGGGAAGCAATGGGATGAGCACTGGGAATGGTGGTGCTAGCCGCAGTGCAGCGAAGGCTGGTGGAGAGAGACAGACAAGAATCAACAGCAGCACCTACAGCAGCAGCAGTGGCAGCGGTGGTGGTGGTGGTGCTGCTGCTGTTGCTGGTGGGGGTGCTGCGGTTGCTGCCACCACCAATAATAATAACAACAACAACGGCAACTCCGACAGCAACAAAACTGTCAGTACTGCCACCACCAACACTATTTCTACTACCACCACCATCAACAACAGCAACAGTAACACTAACAGTACCCCCACCACAACCACCACCAGCACTGCCACTGCCTATGTTCCCAGCCTGGCATCTCAGCTGCGGCCAGTCACACCAGGCCACGTGGACCCCCCTCCCCCTCTCGTCGCCGGCCAATCACGGCTGCATTCGTCAGTCACAGCCGGCCGGCTGCACAGCGCGCGAAGCGAAGAGCAAGGGAGGCTTGCGTTCGAGGCCTCCCAGGTTTGCGGCTTGAGGGGCGAGGGGCAAGGTCGCAGCAGTATTGACTTTTCGGCATGGCAAGTGGTGAAGAGCGAGGGAGGGCAGGTTGAACGAACGCTGGACCGCTTTCGGCACAGGCAGCAGCAGCAGCAGCAGTATCAGCGTCATAACTATCAGCAGAAGCTAACACAAGAGGCACAACCCACCCCGCAGCAGCAGCAGGAGAAGCAGCAACGGCTGCTGCAGCAGCTGGAGCTGCGAAGTCAAGTCTCAGCGCAGTTCTACCAGCCACCCCCGCCACACCTGCACCCGCTCTGGCCGCTCCCCTCCCGCCGCCTCGAGCACCGAAGCTCTGACCCAGGCTTGGTGGCGAGGCACCTGGCAGCTCTGGAGTCTGCCGTGGGTAGCTCTTGGCCCGGGAAAGAGGCTGGGGAAGGGAAGCAAGCTGCAAAGCCTGTAAGTTGTGTGCTGATGTGGCTGATGTGGCTGATGTGGCTGATGTGGCTGATGTGTGTTTATGCACTGTCCCCAACTCCTCGTGCCTCCCCAACCCCTCTGCTGCATCTTCTCTCACGCTCCTCACTACCATGCTCCCCCTCCTCATCTGCCCCCCAGTTGCAGGGTGTTTTCTGCCCCCCAGTTGCAGGGTGTTTTCTGCCCCCCAGTTGCAGGGTGTTTTCTGCCCCCCAGTTGCAGGGTGTTTTCTGCCCCCCAGTTGCAGGGTGTTTTCTGCCCCCCAGTTGCAGGGTGTTTTCTGCCCCCCAGTTGCAGGGTGTTTTCTGCCCCCCAGTTGCAGGGTGTTTTTGAGAATTCTCAAACCACCCTGCAGCCTCATGCTCCTCACTACCATGCTCCCCCTCCTCATCTGCTTTTGAGTCGACTCAAAAGCTGCTCTCACGCTCCTCACTACCATGCTCCCCCTCCTCATCTGCTTTTGAGTCGACTCAAAAGCTGCTCACACGCTCCTCACTACCATGCTCCCCCTCCTCATCTGCTTTTGAGTCGACTCAAAAGCTGCTCTCACGCTCCTCACTACCATGCTCCCCCTCCTCATCTGCTTTTGAGTCGACTCAAAAGCTGCTCTCACGCTCCTCACTACCGTGCTCCCCCTCCTCATCTGCTTTTGAGTCGACTCAAAAGCTGCTCTCACGCTCCTCACTACCATGCTCCCCCTCCTCATATGCTTTTGAGTCGACTCAAAAGCTGCTCTCACGCTCCTCACTACCATGCTCCCCCTCCTCATCTGCTTTTGAGTCGACTTAAAAGCTGCTCTCACGCTCCTCACTACCATGCTCCCCCTCCTCATATGCTTTTTGAGTCGACTCAAAAGCTGCTCTCACGCTCCTCACTACCATGCCCCCCCTCCTCATCTGCTTTTGAGTCGACTCAAAAGCTGCTCTCACGCTCCTCAATACCATGCCCCCCCTCCTCATCTGCTTTTGAGTCGACTCAAAAGCTGCTCTCACGCTCCTCACTACCATGCTCCCCCTCCTCATCTGCTTTTGAGTCGACTCAAAAGCTGCTCTCACGCTCCTCACTACCATGCTCCCCCTCCTCATCTGCTTTTGAGTCGACTCAAAAGCTGCTCTCACGCTCCTCACTACCATGCTCCCCCTCCTCATCTGCTTTTGAGTCGACTCAAAAGCTGCTCTCACGCTCCTCAATACCATGCTCCCCCTCCTCATCTGCTTTTGAGTCGACTCAAAAGCTGCTCTCACGCTCCTCACTACCATGCTCCCCCTCCTCATCTGCTTTTGAGTCGACTCAAAAGCTGCTCTCACGCTCCTCACTAGGGATGAGCAAAGGGCGAACTCGAACACGTTTGGGTTCGAGTTCGCTCGAACATCAACATTTCCCGAACCGAACACGGTTCGGTCCGGCGAACAATTTAGGGTTCAGGAGGTGTTCGCCGTTCGCCCATGGGGGCGAACATTTGGTATGTGTGGGCGAACTCGAACATGTTCGAACCGAACATGTTCGAGTTCGCCCGTGGGCACTTTCGTTTTAGTCACATTGGTCAAACAGGGAATCTGGAGGGTTGGGAAGATAGATAGGGGGGTGGAGGGTGTATATGTGTTCATGCAACGCACACTAGCATACGACACCATCATGTTTTGCCTATATAAAAGTCACTGTCAAATTAAATCCTACGCCTGCACACCACTGCTACTACCAACAACAGCATGCTCCGCGTCAGAGGTGTCGCCAGCACCCACCCCCTCCTGCTCCTCCTCCCATTCCCCCTCCTCCCACTCGTCGTCCTCCTCCTCCCCCTCGCCTTCAATGGCGAACTCTGGTGGTGCCTCGCCTTTTGCACGGCGGCCCTCGCCTATCCTCTGTCCAGGGTGTGAGGTGTACCATGATCTGAGAATCATGGAAGCTCGCGTCCTCTGAGAGGCTAGGCGGTGCCGCTTCCAGGATAGGAGGTTGCGGCCGAGGGAGAACATGCGCTCGCTCGACGCGGACGTGGCAGGGATGGCAAGATAATCCCGGGCCATGCGCCTCAGCGTCTGCATGTTGGTGGCGCTGCGCCAATACTCCAACGCTGACACGTCGCACCGCACCCTCTCAGATAAGGGTACATTCCGCTGTGGACACACGTCCCAATCGATGTGTCCCAATCGTTTCTACCGCACTGCATCGTATTACACCGAATTGCACCCTAGTTTCGAAATTTTCGCGTCTCTGGTTTAGTTCGGTTCGAAGCGGTACACTCGATTGGGACACATCAATTGGGACATGTGTCCACAGCGGAATGTACCCTAAGTACCTGCCAACCTCGTCATCCTGCACCATCCCACCCCTCCCCGCCTCTTGGCTCGCCGAAAGACGCGCCGCAAGGCGTCGGCGACTAGGGAGAAACTCGGCGTCTTCGTCGTCATCCGCCGCGTCTCCCTCCTCCTCCTCCGTCACTGGGGCAAGTGGGGTCGGCCGAGGGGCAATCGCTGCAGCCCGGGCCTGGTACTCGGCCACGCATTGGCGGACCAGCTGGATCACCTCGCCTGACGAGGGACGAGGCCTCGCCCTCCGGTCGGTATCGGGATGCACCGTCTCCCAGTGCTCGTCGTCGAACCACGCCGCCTTCATGGAAGGGTCCAGGAAGGTGGCGATCCACAACTCGTTGCTTGACATCAGTTCATACTTCTTCAAGAGACCCAGCGCCGCCTCAATCATCGGCTTCAGCGAAGCCGATGGCCCCTTGGCAAGGCGCGACTCCATAGCGTCGATCAGGCCGTTGTAGTACGGCAGGACCATCGCCACTGTAGGGTACGCCGCTCCCTCCGCGGCCTTGGAGACTTTGGCGAATGGGCTGAGGAAGGTCTTGACAGAATGCAGAGTCTCCTAGTCTGCGTCCGTAAGGCGCAAGGTGTCCATCTTCGCCTTGTCAGCCTTCGACACGCCCTGTCGGGTAGAACGTATGGGTGGGCGGGTGTTAGGGTGGAAAGTGGGGTGGTTGAGGTTGTTGGAGGTCCGATAAGTTTAGTCAAGCATGGCCAACAGTGGTGCAAGTCCCAGAAGAAAACACCCCGACCGACATACCAACACATAAAACCGCATACACAACACCTGGCACACACACACACACCTGTGTCTGGGCAAAGAAGACAGAGATGGGTTCCTGCAGAACCCCAGCTCGCTCGACCATGTCGTGGGTCGACCCCCAGCGTGTGGGACTGTCCTGCACCAGCTTCAATGCCGGCTTCGGTCTGGCGGGGTTGCCCTGCGCGTTCAGGGTCCGCTGAAGGCCCAAGAACTTCCCTGAGCGCTGCGGCGAGAAGCCTATCCACGACGCCATCTCTCTCAGAATCTTCAACAACTTGCGGATGGCGGTCACAGCGAGTGCTGCCTTCACTGCAAGGTTGATCACGTGTGCCAGGCATCTGCGCACATCACAAAACATTAATGGCGGAGAGAAAGGGAAGTGTGAGTACACATTGGCATAGATCCGCGAAACACTACCACTCTCAAGCCGCATAGGCCCACCCGCCTGTACCACAACCTCAACATGTTCACATCACAGGAACGACGCACCCAGACTCCCTCATCGCACATCCCACGCACACTCCCTTTCGTACCGGAAGTGCATGCGCGAGTTGAAGAAGCACTGGCCACCACCCTCCTCCGACATCCACCTGAAAGCGGCAGTGTTGCTGGAGGCGTTGTCTGAGGTGAACCCAAGACAACGCGTCTCCAACCCCCACTGCACCACAGTCTCCTCAACCACCCTCGCCATCTGCTTGCCCGTGTGACGCCCGTGAATCTCGCGGAATTCAAACACCATTGTGCGCAGCTGGTAATTCTCGTCGATCCAGTGACCCGTTACCACTAGCCACGCCCTGTTGTTGGGCGACGTCCACATGTCGATGGTGAACGACACCCTGCACCCCAGATCCCCCTCCTTCGCCAGCATCTCCGCAATGGCTGACTGAAGAGCGGCAGCCGCATAGACCACTGTATCGCGGGAAACCGTCCAGCGCGAGGGGATGAAGTTCTTCTGCGCGCAGTTGCGGTTTAGCAGGATGAGTAGCTCATGAAACTGGAGAGGAGTAGAGACAAGGGGGGAGAGGGGAGTAAACGTCAGGGGGATGGGATGAAAATAATATAGCACTGCACTGGGCCACACGCAAACATTCAAAACACAAAGGGACAGACCCGTCCACTAACCACATACTTGCCCAATCATGCATGGGATGGGATGGGGCACTTACAGCCTCGGCCTCGACGATGCGGAAGGGGAGGTCGCAGGTGACCATCAGCTTCGTGATCGCCTGCCGTAGCTGCACCGAGGTCAGTTTGGTTGTCATCCACCGCTCCATCCCGCTTGACCCATGACCTCCACCAGTCGCCATCCCTTTCCCCTTGGCGAGCTGCGGCCAAGTCTTGGCATGTGGCCACTGATAGACGAAGCCATCCGGCACTCCCTTGTAGCCCCCACGTGGAAACGTCTCCCCTGGCAAGTGAACGGACGGGGTGTGGTAACGGTGATGCCACACATGCATGTGCGCAGTGTGGAAGCTCGCAAAGTGCCGCTCGCCGGGGGTTGTTGTGGATTGCTTCCACGAAATCCTGTCATAGCAAATCTTGCACTGACGCTTATCGTCTGCCCCTAACGGTCCGAACATCATTACTTGCCACCCCGGCTTCCTATTACCCTTGCCAGTCCCCTTACTACTCTCGGACTCTCTGTCCTCGTCTAGGAACTCGGGAGCGATCACACCCTCGCCCAAGGGCTCCCCAGTGAACGTTCAGGGAAACGCCCGCTCCCTCAACTTGTTGGCCTTCTTCCTCTGCCTCGGCTCCCTAATGGTCACGGCCTTTCTCCCCCCCACCTTAACCCCCACGCTCCCTCCCCCTTCACGCACATGCTGTGATCCCGCCTCTGTCGCCGCCCTTCCACCACCCTCTCCCACCTCCTCCTCCCGCCCCTCTGGCTCCAACCCATCCATCTCGTGGTCTTCATCATCATCATCTCCCCCCTCCCCATCGCCATGCGTCTCTGGGTCCCACGCCGCCTCGCTGTCATCCCCGCTCCCCTCAGTGTCCTCCTCCTTCTCGCCCTCACCATCCTCCTCCTCATCCTCCTCCTCGCTGCCGCTCTCCGGCTGCGTCGGCGTCTGCCCCGAAGGAGGGGGTCGAGGGCCGACGTAACGGAAAGAGCGACGAGAGGTCGGCGCCGGTACGGTAAGCAACCCCCCAACGAAGATCGCGCCGGCTCCTCCCGGTCCATCCCCTACTCGCCCCTGCATAGGTCGTGGTGGAGATCCCGGTGCGTTGCCCTGAGCCCTGCCTGCACCTCGGCCTATGGATCCACCAGCCCTGGAAGCCATAACTCCGCCCTCGACCCTAAACCCTAAAACACCCTTCCTGCAACGGTAGCGTTGGATGGTTCCGCACGTTCCTAATGCCCGATCCGAATCCTACGGCGTAGGATACGCCCTACTTGAGCCCTTTGCGGAGATGCTCGCTGAACCTCAATTGGAACCCTAAACTCCCTACACTACGTTAAACCCTATGCATAGATCTATCTATCTAATGTCCGTTTACACTGCAAGTATCAGCGTGCACTTGCTTGCACCTAGAACAAGGAGGCTAGGGCGGCTGTGTGAGGGAGCGCTAAGGCGAAAACGACTTCTGAGTTTGAGCTCACGAAATGAGCTCAAACACAAATTGGCCGCGACCTAAATCTGGTCGCGGCCAATTTTGACGCGAACATTTTTGGTGTTCGCGTGGCCCCCAAGTCGAACACGAACATGTTCGTGTTCGGCTTGGAGAGCCAAAATTCGGAGGCGAACGTCGAACATGTTCGGCCGAACACCGAACATGTTCGGCCCGAACAATTTAGGCAAAAAAAAATGCCTGTTCGGTTCGCCTCGAACATGTTCGAGGCGAACCGAACAGGCGTTCGGGATTTTGCTCATCCCTACTCCTCACTACCATGCTCCCCCTCCTCATCTGCTTTTGAGTCGACTCAAAAGCTGCTCTCACGCTCCTCAATACCATGCTCCCCCTCCTCATCTGCTTTTGAGTCGACTCAAAAGCTGCTCTCACGCTCCTCGCTACCATGCTCCCCCTCCTCATCTGCTTTTGAGTCGACTCAAAAGCTGCTCTCACGCTCCTCACTACCATGCTCCCCCTCCTCATCTGCTTTTGAGTCGACTCAAAAGCTGCTCTCACGCTCCTCACTACCATGCTCCCCCTCCTCATATGCCCCCCAGTTCCCCTCCACTGCTCCTCCCCATACACATACTTGAATCGACACTGTGTCTGCTGCCAACAGCCTGCCAACAACGACCTACCCACAAACGCCAGCCCCCACTCCTCTCAGCCACCTCCCCCTAATCCCTCTTGTTCCCTCCACCACAGGCACGCCAGTCCTCTTCCTCTGCTGCCCTCAACCTGCCCCACAAGCTCAAGTGCCCTCTCCTCACAGCCAAATTTGCCTCCTGCTCCCCCTCCCTCTGCCCCTTCCTCTTCCCCACCTTTCTTCCCTTCTCCCTCCCAACACAGGCACTCCAATCCTCTGTCTCTGCTGCCCTCTCAACCCGCCCCACAAGCGCCAACGCGCTCTCCTCACAGCCACCTCCTTGCTCCCTTTTGTCTTCTCCCCACCCCTCCTCCCTCTCTCTTCTCTCCCACCCTTTCCCCACACACAGGCACTCCAATCCTCTGTCTCTGCTGCCCTCAACCCGCCCCACAAGCGTCAGCGCCCTCTCCTCACGGCCACCTCGCTACCCCACCCTGCCTCCCACACCTCTCGCTCCTTCACCTCTGCGGCTGCGGCTGCTGCAGCTGCAGCTGCTGCTGGCGGCGGTGCTGCGTCAGGTGGATTCTCAGGTGCTGGTTCAGGTGGGAAGCTAGCCCTAACAGGGTCCGGTGCTAGTGCAGGTGTCAGTGTTGCCACTAGCGCTGGTGCTAATGTTGCAGCTAGTGCCACATCGGCCATGGGGAGAGATCCAGCTGCTGCAGTGCCCGGGGTAAAGAAGCGGCATCTGCAGCAACAGCAGCCACAGTTTCACTTTCTCTCGTCCCACCCTCCCTCCTCCACCACCGTCCCCTCTGCTGCCTCCAACCCTCATTTCTTCTTCAGCAGCAAGAGCCTACGCACCTCGCCCTCCCACTCCTACACCTCTGCTGCTGTTCCCTCCCTCTCCTCTGGCCTTCCCCCCCACCCACAGTCTGCTCTTATCCGCACACGCTCTGACCCATCCCAACTCCTCGGTATCCCCAGAAAGGTTCGGGATAGGAGCCCGGTCCGGCCCGAACCTGCGATTCCGCCCGGACCTGAATCTGTAGGTCCCGGGCCTGCACCAGGCTCGGAGACGGGTCGAGTAGCCGGTAGCCATATGTCTGGTTCAGGCGCAGGTTTCCAGACAGGCTCGGAGAGCAGGCCCGGGCTGAGCTACGGGAGCAGGTCTGCCTCGGTGTTGGTTCCAGGTCCGGTGCTGGGCGGCATGAGCTTCGGTAGCCGGTCGGCTTCTGGTGCGGTACTTTCCAGGAAGCTGAGCCGGGTGAGAGAAGGGGAGCGGGAGGGGGAAGGGTCACAGAGGGAGAGGGAGGGGGACGGAATTTTGGAGGAGAGGGAGGAAGGAGAAGAGGCAGGGGAAAGGGAAGGGGGAGCGATTTTGGAAGGAACGGAGGAAGGGGAAGGGGAAAGGGAAGTGGGTGGGCATGGGGTGGATATGGAAAGGAGGGAGGCGAAGGAAGGAGCAGGGCGTGATGCTGTGGCGAGAGCACTGACGCAGCTTGGGCAGCAACAGGGGCAGCAGCAGGGACAGCAGCAGGGGCAGCAGCAACAGCAGGGGCAGCAGCAGCAGCAGCAGCAGCAGCAGCAGCAGCAGCAGGGGCAGCAGCAGCAGCAGCAGCAGCAGCAGGGGCAGCAGGGGCAGGAGAAGCAGCAAGAGGAGCAGCAGGCATCAGAGGCAGATTCCAGTCCATGGAACATCCCACTCTCGCCGATGGATCCCAACTACACACCCCATCTGTTCCCCTCTCTCCCACCCGCCCTCCTCTCCCACCCTCCACCCCACCACACTCTACCCCAACCGGCCCTCCCATCGCCTCTTGCACTGCCCCTTGTCTCCCTGACCTGCCTCTCCTCCCCTCCCTTTGCCTCTGGTGCTTCGGAACCCGCACATTCTGAGTCCGCTTCTGGCTCTGGCTCTGCAACCACCCTGCCTCCAGCTTCTATGTCTGCTGCTGCTGCTGCTTCTGGCAGCGCTGCTGCTGCTTCAGCTGATGCTGGCACCACTGCTGTTGCCACAGCTGCTACAGCCGCAGCTGCATCTAACAGAATGGAAGTGGAGGATGGGTCAGGGCCCCTATCAGGCTCCCTATCATCAGGCCCCTTATCGGGGTCCATGGAAGAGGCATATCGGCAGGACAAGGGAGGAAAAGCGGGTGGGAGGAGCAGGAGGATCAGCGGCAGCACCAGCAGCAGCAGCGGCGGCAGCGGGACGGCGAGTTTCAGTAACCCCTGGGTGGGCTCCTCTCGTGCCCTCGAACCATCATACACTCTCGAATCCTCATGCACTGTTGACTCTCATCTCTCCTCTCGTACCTTTGCCTCAGGCTCTGACCCTTGGACCCCCACCACTGCCGATGGCTCTACCTCTTTCTTTCACTCGTTTGCTACTTCCTCCACCTCCACCACTCCCACTGCACTCACCCCTGCTGATGGCACCACCCCCACCACCACCGCTGCCAACACTCCTGTTGAGGGGGTCACTCCTACCACGCCTGCCAGCAGCACCGCTTTCAACCGCGCTCAAAAGTCCCCCACCACCCCGGCTGCGTCTGAGAAGGACTCCCCAGCTGCCGTTGCTATGAGCAGGCCTATCAGCAGGGGGGGTAAGAGTGGGCAAGGGATCAGCAGCAGCGGCAGCTTCAGCAGCAGCAGAAGCAGCTTTGAGGCGCCTCAGAAAAGCTCTATGAGCGCTGCCGCTGTGAGTGGAAATCCTGGGGGCAGTAAGAGCAGCAGGAGCAGCCTTGACGAGCCTCGGACAGGCTCTGTGAGCGGTGCTGTGAGTGCGAATGCGGGCGGCAGTAGGAGCAGCAGGAGCAGCCGCAGCAGCTCAAACCTGTCTCCGACTGGGCTTGGGCAGGGCAGTGGGGATGGCAGTGCTGCTGCTGCTGGCTCTGGTGGCGATGATAGGCGCAGCTTAGAGCAGGAGGGAGGGGAGAGGCAGCACAAGAAGCATCACCACCACCATCGCCACCATCACCATCACCATCATGAGGGACAGCATGAGCAGCAGCAGCCGCAGCCGCCGCCGCCGCAGCAGGCAGTGAGCAGCACTGGAGCAGGAGCAGTGGCAGTGGGACCAGCAGGAGCAGCAGCAGCAGGAGCAGTAGCAGCGCGGAACAAGAGCGGGCCTCTAGTGGCCATGCTGGCAGGGGTGCGCATATTGCTAGCAGAGGACAACCTGGTGAACCAGCGCGTGGCCACACACGCCCTCTCCAAGCAGGGCGCTCGCGTCGAGGTGGTGGGCAACGGGCAGCTCGCTCTCACCGCCATGGAGGAGCGGGCGGCGTCGTTCGACCTCATTCTCATGGACATTCAGGTGTGTTTTGTTTGTCGGCATAGTTTTCGCTATCGTCGGCAGCAGTGGAGTTATTGACTTCGCCACCCCTGCCGCCACCACCACCATCATTGTCCCTGTCTCGATGCCCACCATCATTCCTGGTCCACCCGCCGCCACCACCAGCAGTGGAGTTATCGACTTGGCCACCCCTGCCGCCACCCCTGCCGCCACCCCTGCGGCCACCCCTGCCGCCACCCGCCGCCACCCGCCGCCACCACCATCCTTGTCCATGTCTCCATGTCCACCACCATTCCCAGTCCTTCAGATCAGATGCCCGGAATATATAGACTGGAAGCCTGAAATGTCTCAAAGCACACTTTACACCCCCAACCTTCCCCCCCTCTTCATTTCTGTCCAAACCCAAATCCATTTGCCGGTCATTGATGGGATGGAGATTACTTGTCGCATTCTTGATCCGATAAATGATATTAATCGATCTAAAAAACAATCCTTTCCTCCTCCTTTACCAACTTGCATTTCCTTTCAGATGCCGGTGATGGATGGGCTGGAGGCCACTCGCCGCATGCTTGAGTCAATGAATAATAGTAGTCGATCTAAAAAACAATCCTTTCCTCTTCCTTTACCAACTTGCATTTCCTTTCAGATGCCGGTGATGGATGGGCTGGAGGCCACTCGCCGCATCCGCCAGCTGGAAACTTCCAGGAGGCGACTCTCGGGCAGCAAAGCAGCACGGCAGCACCACAAGGGGCAGCAGCACGGGCAGAAGGACGGGAAAGAAGGGGGAGGGTCAGGGGGAGAGGGAGGAGGGGCGGGAGGAGGGGGAGGGGGAGAGGGAAGAAGGATAGGCATAGTGGGGTTGACGGCACACGCAATGGCTGGGTACAAGGAGCAGTGCTTTGAAGCGGGTATGGATGGGTATGCTACTAAACCCTTCAAAATCGAGATGCTGGTGCGAGCGATTAAAGCCGTGCTGGGAGGAGCGGTGAATGTGGATGGCACTAAATAGACGGCTGATTGACATGGGTGGTGGGCAGGCAGCACAAGTGCAAAGATGGGGGATGGGGAGAGGGAATGCAATGGCCGGGTACAAGGAGCAGTGCTTTGAAGCGGGCATGGATGGGTATACCTGTCAACATTGAGCGAAGCCCTTCTGCATTATTGAGTTGCTGGGGCGAGCAATTAAGGCCGTGGTAAAGGGGCTGTGATGTGAACGTGGATGGCACGAAATGGGGGATTGGTACAATTGCACGAAGTTAAGATGGAGAGCGACTAACTAAAAAGGGGGCAAATGAGATTGACTAACTGATTGACTCACCTGATCACTTGTGTGGATCTCTGTAAAAGGATGATGTTACACTGGTACAAGGAGCAGTGCTTTGATGCGGGTATGGATGGGTATGCTACTAAACCCTTCGAAATTGAGATGCTGGTGCGAGCGATTAAAGCTGTGCTGGGAGGGGCTGTGAAGTGAACGTGGATGCCACTAAGTAAACTGGGATATAATATGGATGGCATGGCATGGCACGAAACACGAGATAGGTTTTTACTACAATTAGTTACCATACTGGGAACGAATGGGTCAGAGGAAGCGCAAGCGACGAGGGGAAGATTGTTGTTGGAATGAATCCAGCTCAACAATTATCACTTCAGATTTGGTTTTAGGGACACAAGTCAGCTGAGATTCGTTTTCGCATAAAGATCTCCCAGGATCGCCGCCATCTTTCTTTCAAAACAAGAAAGGTAACAAACTCTATTTTTGGAGATTTTGAGTTCTTCTATCTTGAACTGTACTCGGGCTTTAAACGAACAGCATCATGCTCCTTTCACACTACGTAAGCTGTGATTCATACTTTGGTGCTCACAGCAATTTCCACTCCACGGGCTGGAATTTCTTTCGATCCTAGTCCCCTATTAGTAATAAGAGAACTTCTTATAGTCTTTCCAGTTCGCTAGTTATACCGGTAAGAGAACAGACTTTGCGTGGAATAAACAAAACATGGGCGAAAGGTCCAAGACAACAAGAACTCCAGACAATGGCAACTGGGAATGGCGAATGCGTACAATGCTGATTATTTCAGCACATTACTAAAGCAGCACATTCTCGTGCGCAAAATCAGATACAGATGGGTTAGATGCATATCAACACTCATGAACATGAAAGCCTTCTATTTGTGCTTACGGCCGCGCCTGAAGACACCCTTATGCTTGCCACGAAAGCCCTTACGCTTGTGTCCTCCGAAGTGTCTTTTGTGCTTGCCACGAAAGCCACCCTTGAACCTGCCCTTAAAAAAGCGGCCCTTGCCTTTCTTCTCACTGTCGTATCCGCCAGTAAGACCAGTCACGACCACATCCCCACGTGGTGTGGGGCCATCTGAAAACGGTACAACGAATCAGTACGTAAACCGAATGCTTGGCGAGAAAGGCGAAAACCAGGGTGAAATTTACCGAGCGGTAATGGGCGGAACGAGATAGCGACGAACCTGGGAGAGGATAGTCATACGGGCTGGGGTCCGTTCCGCCGTCTGGGAAGGATGCAAGCACGAATTCAGCGGAACAAGTCAGAGCTATTATAAAGGGGAGAACAAATAGCAAAGCGATCCGCTGAACGAAGGACGTGAATGACACTCACAGTAAGACATGATGACAGTCGACGGAAAACTGACTCCAAGAATATGAGCTTTGTGACTGGAATGAAAGCTTGATGTGCAAGGATGGCATTATGTATGAGCAGATTTTTTCTCAGGGCGTGCCCCACCAGTTCCTTTTTGGCTCAGATTCTGCGGTGGAGAACGGTTCAAACTCTTTTAGAGCGGTTTGTCTGTTCCACTTCTTTGAACCGTGACCCACCAGTCTGAAGAGTGATTCATTGGCTGACAACAGTCTCGTGGGACGCCCTCACATCCTCTTGAGGATTGCACAGATGGAAATTACGTCTCTGTCGCTACACCGTGATAGAATACGTATGACTGCATAGCATTCTTTTCTTTTGAATATACTTTTTGCTTTCAACAGTCGGCCTGCAAAAATCATTTGAGTTCCGTCGACATGAACTTGCTCTGATGTGCTCGGAAGTTTGGAGGAGGGCTTCTGCGTTTGCGAGTTCTTGTTTGCAAATCTGGGCATAATCATGTCCAGCCATTCCAACAACACCGGCCCTCGCTGGCTCTGCCCCATGCGTTTCCCTTCGCGTGCCATTCGCGCTGCCCCGCGCGTGCCCTTTGCGCAGCCCTGTGCTTTGCCCTTCGCGCTGCCCGTCGCGCGCCATACGCGCTTGTCATATAGTGTTTCTGTATCAGTAGGCTGTAGTGGGTAGCTGTTTTATAGTACAACACTTTTAGGGTTTCCCTACTTGTACTTCTCATGCTGCCTAATCTCATCATTCCTGCGTTAGTATTCTGACATGGTATCAGAGCAGGTCCCTCTGTAGGACCGCTTCGTTAGGGCCCACCAACTGTACGTACTGCCCCAGGAGCTGCTCCCGTCGTGCGCTGCCCTGCTCGCCACGCGCGCGCCCTGCCTTGCCCATTACGACGTCGGGCTGCTGCCCTGCCCTGCCCAGCGCTATCGCGTTGCCCTGCCCCGCGCTGCCCCGCTGCGCTGTGCCCTGCTGCCGCGCGTGCTGCGCTGCTGCCCGTACTGCCCTGCTCCCCGCGCGCTGCCCTGCTCACCGCGCGCTGACCTGCTCGCCGCGCGCTGCCCTTTGTCAGAATGTCATATTTGTTATCTAGCCTGCAGTGGGGTACTCTATAGCGAGTATAACCCCTTAGGGTTTCATATTTGTATCCCATTGCTTGCTAGTACAACCCCTTTTTTGCCTAACTTCTTCTTGCCTAGCTAGGTAAGTCCTAGCTATGGCTACTATCATTACCTACCTATCTTCACATGGTGATCAGAGCAGTACGCTCCTGGCCTGTGTGCCTAACCATGTTCCTTCCGCTGCAACTACTACTTTCCCTTACCGCCGTGCGCCCCGAGGCGCGCGGCGGTTTTCTGCCCGCCGTGCGCCCCGAGGCGCGCGGCGGTTCTCTTCCCGTCGCGCGCCCCGAGGCGCGCGGCGGGTTTCTGCCCCGTCACGCCGCGCGCCGCTCCCGGGAGGCGCTGTGACGGGCGACAGGGACCTCCGCGTCGCCCCCCGTCGCCCGTCGTGGCCTCTGTGCGGCCCGTACAGGCAGCGCGCGGCCCGTACGGGCTGCGCCAGGCCGTCGCGCGGCCCGTACGGGAGACGCCCGACCCGCGCGCGGCTCGGGCCGCATGCGCACGGCTCGGACGTCCCTACCAGGCCCGTGGTGGGCCCGTTTCCTACCTTCCCTGCCCTCCCCGCTGTTCCCAGTCCCTCTACTACCGCCCTACCCCTCCTACTCCCCATTCTCCTACTTTAGGGTTTGGGGGTGAGGGGTATGGGGGTGACCCTCCTCAGTACCACTCCCTGCTCCTCCTCCTCCTCCGTCTCCTTGTGCTGCAGCTGCCGCTGAGGGGGGGGTGATTGTGGTGGAGCCAGTGGAGTGATACTAAGGGGGGGGGAAGGGGAGGAGAGCTAGCGGTGTAGCAGTGGGTGTGTGCCAAGGGGAGTAGGACAGTCTGGGGAAGCTGAATGGAGGATGCCGATGTGTCGCTAGCAGCACCTGTAGTCCGGGGACTTCGTCCGGTAGCCCAGTCGTAGCCAGCTGTGCCAGCCGCCCGTGGGTCCGTTGCTCGTCTGCCGCTACTTTAGCCGCGGGGCCAGTTACTCCTGTAGTCCGGGGGCTTCGTCCGGTAGCCGCTGTGCCAGTCAGCCTCCTGTTGCCCGTGTGTCTGCAGCTTCATCCGTCGCCTCCTATCTCCTCTCCTCTCAGTCTCTCTCCTCCTCCTCACTTGCCCGTTGTGACTACCTCTAGCTTTGCTTATAACTGTGAACTTTATACTACTGCTGCTTGAACTTGTGCTCAGACTGTGTGGTGACATTGTGATCCACCCTGAGCTTGTTCTGTTTTGCTTCCTCTGCTGATTACACCCCACTTTGGCTATGGGGGTGTGTCAGAATGTCATATTTGTTATCTAGCCTGCAGTGGGGTACTCTATAGCGAGTATAACCCCTTAGGGTTTCATATTTGTATCCCATTGCTTGCTAGTACAACCCCTTTTTTGCCTAACTTCTTCTTGCCTAGCTAGGTAAGTCCTAGCTATGGCTACTATCATTACCTACCTATCTTCACACCCTTCTCGCCTGCCGCTGCCCTGCTCGCCGCACGCTGCCCTGCTCGCCGCGTGCTGCCCTGCTCGCCCTGCGCCTGTCCTGCGCCACGCACGCGCGCTGCCTATGCGCGCCCTGCCTGCGCGCGCCCTGTCTGCACGTGCGCCGCCTACGTGCGCCCTGCCCGCACGCACGCTGCCTACGCGTGCCCTGCCCTGTAGCCCGCGCGCCGCCCTGCCCTGCAGCCCGCGCGCTGCCCTGCCCTGCTGCCCGCACGCTCTGCAGCGCGCACGCCGCCCTGCCTGCGCAGCCCTGCAGCCCGCACACTGCCTTGCCTTGCAGCCCGCGTGTTGCCCTGCCCTGCAGCCCGCGCGCCGCCCTGCCCTGCAGCCTGCGCGCTGCACTGCCCTGCTGCCCGCACGCCCTGCAGCCCGCGTGCTGCCCTGCATGTGTAGCCTTGCAGCCCTACGTGCCGCCCTGCCCTGCAGACCGCGCTCTGCCCTGCCCTGCAGCCCGCGCGCCGCCCTGCCCTGCAGCCCGCGCGCTGCCCCGCCCTGCAGCCCGTGTGCTGCCTTGCCACTACAGCGACTACCGCTACTGCTAGCAACTACAAGCGGTCACTTCTGATGCCCTTGTGCCGCTGCAATGCCCTTGTGCCGCTGCTACTGACTGCCACTGCCTATCATGGCCACTATTACATTCGTAGCAGCGTCTGGCGATGGACAGCAGCAGCATCGACAGCCAGAGACTCTATCGCGGCAGCAGCTTCGCGAGTGGGTTGTTCGGCGAGGCCGTCCTGGGGGTGGAGGTTATGGTGCTGGAGGTACTGGACAGCAGCGTCAGCAGGAGACCCTCTCACCGCAGTAGCTTCGCGAGCAGGTTTCTCAGCGATACGTCCCTGGTACTGCAGAGGCTACTAGTCTAGGTGCCTGTGAGCCTGGTAGCACAAGTATAGCCTCTGTGGAGGCTTTGCACACCTTCACGCTTGACTCAGGCACGACTCGCTATTTCTTCCGCGACTGCAGCACAGTCACACCGCTCACTGCACCTGTCCCTGTCTCTCTGGCTGACCCCTCTAAGGGCCCGGTTGTAGCACGTGCCTCCACAGTTCTCCCGTGTCTAGCAGCCCCCTCAGGCTCCCTCACAGGTTTCCACCTCCCCTCGTTCTCTAATAACTTGGTGAGTAACGCTGTCCTCCAGAACCAGTTTGTCACTGTGACTACTCCTGGAGGTGAGCTTGTGGCGATCTGAACGGACTCACGCACTGGCGAGCACCTCGCCACGTTCAGTCGGAGGCCTGGGTTTGGCCTGTACACACTAACTACTGAGTCTGCATAGGTGGTTGCGTCAGGTCAGGTAGCAAAGTCGGGTCAGTTAGCTGCGTCTTGTTTGTGTCGGCTACTATCGCACCAGACTCTCCTCTGGCACCACTGTCTTGGTCACCCCTCCCTGCCGCGCCTTCGTGGCATGCACTTGCATCTCCTTGTCTCTGGCCTCCCCAGGTCCCTGCCCCCGCTCCCGCGCTCGCTTGCACCGCCGTGCCTTCCGTGCGTTGAGGGGCGGCAGCGCGCCGCTCCTCACTCCTCCTCGTTTCCGCCGACCACTGCTCCTCTGCAAACTCTCCACATGGACGTGTGGGGCCCAGCTCGCGTCCGTCGACAGGACCACGAGCGCTAATTTCTTATGGTTGTTGACGTCTACATGCGCTACACCACGGTCATCCCCTTGCGGAGCAAGGCAGATGTCCGCGGTGTTTTGATCGACTGGATCATCGCCGTTCGCCGCCAGATGAGCGCTCGGTTTTAGCAGGACCTCCAGGTCATGCGACTGCACTGTGATAGAGGAGGTGAGTTTTCCTCTGGCCTCCTTCGGGACTTTTGTTGTGCAGAGGGCATTGCCTAGTCGTTCACGCTTCCGGCCTCTCCACAGCAGAATGAGATTGCTGAGCGTCGCATTGGCTTGGTCATGGAGGTTGCTCGCACCTCCATGATCCATGCAGCTGCTCCCCATTTTCTGTGGCCGTTTGCGGTCCAATACGCTGCGCATCAGCTCAGCCTCTGGCTCCGTGTCTCTGTGCCAGAGACCTCGCCTACACTGCGTTGGACGGGGGAGGTTGGCGATGCGCCGGCGTTTCGGGTCTAGGGTGCGCTCTCCCTTGTCCGCGATACCACCACGGGCAAGCTCTCTCCTCGCACTCTTCGCTGCGTTTTCCTTGGCTTCCCCACCGACGCCCCGCCCTGGCAATTTTACCACCCTGCCTCACGCCGCGCCGTGTCCTCACAGGCGGTCACATTTGACGAGTCGGTCTGCTTCTATCGTCTCCACCCGCACGTGTCTTCCCCACTCTCCCCGTCTCCCCTCTTCCTGGTCCCAGGTCCCCCCCCGGTAGACACCCTCCCCCCACAGGGTCCTGCTCCCTCAGGTGTGTCTCAGGTCGACCCACCCCCCTTGGGTGAGCCTTTAGAGGTCTCCTCTGACACCTCTGGCCCGACTGAGGGGGGTGACCCCGCTGCTGACGACACGGCGGCGACTCGCCGCTCCCCGCGCTTGGAGACTCCTCTTGGTTTTCCGCCTCGGTTGTCTTCGCCGCCTCCGCAGCCTGTCGCTGTGGACTCTGGTGTTGCAGGGGGTGGTGATACTAGGGGTGCGGACTCTGGGGGTGCTGGTCCACGGGTTGCTGAGTCTGGGGGTGCTGGTTCTGGGGGTGCTGACTCTGGGGGTGCCGGTTCTGGGGGTGCTGACACTAGGGGTGCTGCGAGTCCTAGTGGTGGTGGAGTCGTGGGTGCTCCTACTGGGGGTTCTGGTGTTGGACAGCAGCAGCAATCTCGTCAGGAGACCCTCTCACCGTAGCAGCTTCGCGATTGGGTTGTTCGGCAAGGCAGTCCTGGTGGTGGAGGTTTTGGTGCTGCAGGTGCTGGAGGTCCTGGAGTTGCTGGTGCTGGAGGTACTAGAGCTGGAGGTACTGGAGGTACTGGAGCTGCTGGTGTTGGAGGTGCTAGAGCTGGAGGTGCTTGAGGTATTGGAGCTGCTGGTGCTAGAGGTGCTAGAGCTGGAGGTGCTAGAGGTACTGAAGATGCTGGTGCTGGAGGTGCTAGAGCTGGAGGTACTGGAGGTACTGGAGCTGCTGGTACTGGAGGTACTGGAGCTGCTGGTGCTGGAGATAATGGAGCTGGAGGTGCTGGAGGTACTGGAGCTGCTGGTGCTGGAGGTACTAGAGCTGGAGGTGCTTAAGGTACTAGAGCTGCTGGTACTGGAGGTACTGGAGCTGCTGGTGCTGGAGGTACTGGAGCTGCTGGTGCTGGAGGTGTTGGAGGTGCTAGAGGTACTGGCACTGCTGGTGCTGGAGGTGCTAGAGCTGGAGGTGCTGGAGGTGCTAGAGCTGGAGGTGTTGGAGAAACTGGAGTTGCAGGTGCTGGAATAACTGGAGCTGCTGGTGCTGGAGGTGCTGAAGCTGGAGGTACTGGAGGTGCTGGAGCTGGTGGTACTAGAGGTGCTGGAGCTGGAGGTGTTGGGGGTGCTGGAGCTGCTATCGGTACGGGTACTGCGTTGTGCCGACCGTTTTTCTACCCGCAGCCGCAGTCGTCCCTACCACCGCCTGACTCGGCACTTCGTCAGGTTCTTAGTCTTCCGTCTTCCATTGGCCTTACTCCGCCTCTCCTCTGTCCTCCGCCTGACCAGTCACAGCCGCAGTTACTGCTTGGCTCTCCACTGCCTGCTCCTTCTCCCTACGCTGCGTAGACAGGCTCCATGGCAGACCGTCGTGAGCCTGAGTCCCGTCCTGCCTCCCCTGTTCACACTGTCAGTCGTGCTCGTTGTTGTCGTCCTCCACCTGTCCCCGGCACACACACTATGGCACTTCGTCCTTCCTCTGTTCCTTAGCGTGTTGCCCTGCCGTCTCCTCCGGCGTCGTCTCTTCCTGACGTTCCTGGCCCTGAGTCCGGCCTTGCTCGCGTTGCTCATCCCACTGTCACTCGTCTCCTTGCAACTATTGTCACTAACCCTTCCTTTGAGTCTACTGCTGCATCTGCCCTAGTCACTGAGCTTGTCGACTTTGCTGCGATCCGCCGTCTTGACTACATCGCGAGTCTTATTACTGAGTCTGAGTCTGTCTGTCCTCCGTCCGTCGAGGGTGAGCTTGCCCTTGGCTGTGACGTCCTTGAGGACAGGCAATTTGAGCTCGAGTGTCTCGCGGCCGTTATACCCTGTTTCGCGTCCATGCTGCTTTGCCCTGAGGGAGACCCGGATGCACTAGACATCCCAACCACGCGCACTCACGCAGAGGCGATCACGGGTGAGTACTCCTCTCGGTGGCAGATAGCCATGGACGCAGAGATGGCGTCTTGGAAGTCCACAGGCACCTACGTTGACGAGGTTCCCCCTCTTGGGGCGAACATAGTCGATGACATGTGGATTTTCATAGTGAAGCGGCCGCCGGGTTTTCCACCTGTCTTTAAGGCATGTTACGTTGCTCAAGGTTTCAGTCAGCGACAGGGAGTCGACTTATTCCAGACCTTCTCCCCCACCCCGAAGATGACTACTCTTCGGGTGATACTGCACGTTGCAGCACAGCGTGACTACAAGCTGCACTCCCTCGACTTCTCCACAACTTTCTTGCACAACGATCTGGCTGTGCCGCCCACCTGGCTTCACTGGTTCGTTTCCTAAGGGTACCTAGTGGAGTCTCCGGCGGCCAGTCTACGGTATCTGCCAGGCGCCCGGCTAGTGGCACGACACACTGAGGAGGACACTTGTGTCACTTGGGTTTGCTCCTTCGACTGCTGACACGTTGTTGTTTCTGCGCACCGACCCTACTCTGCTGCCATTCTACATCCTCGTGCGCGTGGACACTTGGTCTTTGCTACTGCTGACACTGAGGCGCTGACCCTTGTGAAGGTGGAGCTGCAGAAGAAACAAACTTGCACTGATCTGGGTGAGCTGTGTAGCTATCTTGGCTTGCAAACCACCCGGGACAGAGCAAGGTGCACCATCACTGTGACTCAGTCACACATGGTGCAGGTGGTCCTTCAGCGCTTCGGCTTTTCGTTCTCCTTGCCACAGCGCACTCCTCTTCCTATAGGCCACTCGCTCTCAGCTCCACCTTTGGACTAGTCCGTAGAGCCGAGTGGCCCGTATCCAGAGCTTGTGGGCTGCCTCATGTATCTGATGATGTGCACGCAACCTGACCTCGCGTACCCTCTCAGCATCCTTGCTCACTTCGTTGCACCCGGACGACACAGAAAGGAGCACTGGACAGCCACGCAGAGGGTACTGCGTTACTTGTGCAGTACATTGGGCATGGGGCTCATGCTTGGAGGACGGGGTCCAGTGGTACTCACAGGACACTCCGACGCTTCTTGGGCCGACGACCAAGCGACTCAGCGGTTGTCACAGGGTTACTCTTTCAGTCTTAGGCACTGGTTCTGTCTCGTGGAGGTCCACTCGTTCGTCTTTTGTGCTTGGGTCCAGCTGTGAGGGCGAGATATACGCTGAGGCCATGGCTGCACAGGAGCTACGCTGGCTGACCTACCTGCTGACCGACTTGGGTGAGCAGCCTCGTTCTCCTCTAGTTCTGTACGTCGACAACAAGGCCATGATTGCCTTGTGTTAGGAGCAGGGATTGGAGCACAGAACCAAACACATTGCTCTTCGTTGCTTTATTGCTCAAGAGTTGCAGCGGTGTGGTCAGCTGCGCCTTGCTTACGTGGCCTCTCGGGCCAACACTGCTGATGTCTTCACCAAGGCCCTTATGCCTGGTGATCATCAGCGTTTCTGCACTGTGTCGCGTCATTAACACTTAGCTGGCAACTAAGTGTGAATTCCACAGCAGTCAAGGTGAGGGTGTGTGTACTATAGTTTATCGCTTTTGTACTCTAATTTCATTTGTGTGCTTGGAGTGTATCGTACTGTACTGCAGAGCCGAGTAGCTGGGGAATTCAAGGTGGTTAGTGAGAGGCGAATTCAAGGTGGTTGGTGGAGGCGAATTCAATTCTAGCCTGTGAATTCAATTTCGAAGTCACCAGGCTGGAAGGCGAATTCAATGCCAGCCTGGGGATCCAATTCGAAGTCACCAGGCTGGAAGGCGGTGCATGCCTAGTGGGCCCAGTGGGAACCCGAAAGGCACCTTGGAGACCTCGCGAGCAGCTCGGCTGACTCGCTTGGTGCACGGGAGCTTGCTTGTGGAGGAAGCAACCTAGGCAGGAGGTGGGAATAGATGTAGGTAGGAGTAGCACTCGGGCTTCTTACTTTTTGCTTGTATGTTTCTCTTTTACTGCAATTAAGCTTTCCTAATCCAGAGGGAACTAGCAGTTGGAGGAGCTATAAGCATTTTAACAGAGCCCCTGAGGGGGAGCGATATGCTTGCTACATACAAGAAAAAGGGTTGCTGACTGTCTGAAGTACAGGAGATCAGCTTAGTGGCCTGGAGTCGCTCCCGGTGATGCGCCATGAGGAATGAGTAGGCACGATCATGAACTTCACACTCATCAACTGCGCTCGGGACTTCGTTTCCCTGCAAGGACGATGGAGGGACAAGGTCTGCCGATCAAGACGCCTGGATTTCGGGCCGAGGAAGGCGACGCTAATGTTCGCGGGAGCCAAAGATCAGATCGAGAGAAGGAAGGCGGCAGGCAGGGAGAGCAGCCACCCAGCTCTGCTTGTGATTCACCTGCTGGTGGGAGTGGAATCCGCCCTGTGGGGAGGGGAAGAGTGTCGAGAAGAGCGTCGCAGTCAGCGCGGGGAGGATGAGCATCACGAAGAAAGACGCAGTCAGAGAGGGGAAGAGGCGTACCACGGCTTCTCGGCTGGAGGATATGAAGCTATGGAGGCTGGGAGAGGTGGTCGGCTTGCGGAAAGCGGAGACAGAGGGACCACAAGCTGGGGAACAGGCCGCACGATGAGCGCATCTCTGCCAAAGATTGAGGTGCCGGACCGTTTCTCGGGGACGCTAGGGGAGGAACCCATGCTCAAGAACTACCTGATGATGATAGACGGCCTGCGGTACCTCTAGGAGAGGCAAGGACCCCATTGAATTCTTAAGAGGCTTGGGAAGGACCCTTAAGGTCGAGGCTTTGACTCATTACCGTGTGGAAAGGCAGGGGCTGTTGATGCAGTGCAATAGAGGAGATTTCTTACCTGCGGCGATTACGAACCGATTCTTGGAGAGCTTGCAAGAGCAATTCCCGGGGCACTCAGTGGAGTGGATGACAGCGTTTCAGAACTTCATGCGCGCTACTTCGGAGTCGCTGCTAGCCTATTACAATACATTGCTGGAGCTGGCGGAGGATATGGGGTGTATGGAGGAATGCCTCTTGGTGACTAAGTTTGTCAATGGGCTGGACAAGGACCTGCTAAGTGATATGAGGAGCCAACTATACGCCCTGGGAGTACGAGCGACGCTGCAGCAAGTGTACAAAGTGGCAAAGGAAGTGGAGGAAGGGAAGAGATTCTATGATGGCATGCAGGGGTCGAGTTCCAGCTGGCCGAACGAGCAAAGGCAACCTGCCTGGGCAGCGGTGGAAGGCAGAAGGGGAGAGGAAGAGCGGAAGGAAAGGCCGCCAGAAGATTCAAGACACTGCCATAAATGTGGAGAGCAAGGACATCTTCGAAGGGACTGTACAGTGGGGATAATATGTGACACCTGCGGAGCAAAGGGACATTTCAGGCGCGACTGCCCCAAGGCGCCGACCTGCACGGGATGTGGGAAGAAGGGTCATACCGAAGCTAGATGTTACAGCAAGGGAGACAGGACGAGGGGGAAATCAGCGAGGGAGCTGCAGTTAGAACGGGAGTTGGCGAAACTAAAGGCTCAGTTGGAGAAATCAGAGATCAGTGAAGACCCAGAGAAAGCTCTGCTGGCTTGGGAGGATGATGAAGGGGAAGACTATGATGAAGGGGAACCTGAATACAGGATCATGGCTATGCCACCAAGAGAGCGAGGAGATCTGGGGTTACGCACCGGAGGGGTGGATGACAGAGCGGTGCAGAAACCACAGGAGTGAAGAATTCCCAGGCGGCCGGAAGGGAAAGGGAATGCTAGCACCGCACGACGTCACCCAGAGGAAAGGCTCGTCTGTCAGCCCACGGCCCTGGTGGTGGAACCGAAAGCAGTGGCAGTCAGGGGAATCTTAGTAGAGAACGCGGTGGTTGATACAGGAGCGCAGAGTGTCTTGATCGGGAGGAAGCTGACGGAACAGCTGCGAGCGCAAGGGAACCTAAAGACCGTGAGTAAGGGCATACTGATCATGACCGCAGAAGGCGGGGCTCCCAAGTGGATGCCGTGCACCCGAGATCTGATAGAGATAACCTTACAGCTGGGAGAGAATGGAGAGACGACCATCAGGGTGCAGTGTGGGTTGACAAAATCAGAAGACTACGATATTCTACTAGGAATGGAGCTGTTGTTAAGATAGGCACTACTATTTGTACCTAGCGAGAGCAAGTGCTTTACCGTTCGGACTTTTGGGAGGAGGAAAGGAGCTGAGTGAACTACCAGTACGGTTTGTCAAGACAGAACCAAAGAAGGCATGGAGAGCAGAGGGACTGAGAAAGGACAGCGGGAGGAGTGGAAGTGCAGGGAAGAGTGAAGTCAGCGCTCACCTGGATCAGTATAGCATTACATTAGTGGAGCTGTTCGGGGGAATAGGAGCGGGCTTGGCAGCAGCCTTGGAAGCAGGCCTGAGGGTGAAGAAGTGGGTATACGTAGAACTTGACCCAGAGGTGAGGAGGATGGCATGGAATCATGCTCAGATGTTACAGCAGTGGTACCCCGCACAGCTAACAAGGGAGGTACTACGGGAGGCTATGCAGAATAGGAAATGGGACGTGGAACAGATCACTAAGGAAGATGTGGACAGCTGGGGCAAGGTGGATTTGTTAGTGGCAGGTTGGGAGTGTCAGGGTACTTCCCGAGCTAGAAAGGGGAAAGGTTTGCAGGACGAGCGCACGGCGATGGTGACCAAGCTACTCACTATTATGAAGTGGGCGAGAGAGGTAAACGGAGAATACGCTTACATCTTGGAGCATGTGGATATGAGGGGCGATGTACGCGAGCCGGTCAGGGCAGTAAGGGAGCTGGTGGAAGCAGAACTGGGAAGGGGAGTAAGCTGTGACGGTGCACAGCTGGGGGCACGCTGTCATAGGGTGCGGCAGTACTGGCAGAACGTCTTGCCAGAAGGGGAACTGAGGGCTAGATTAGCAAGGGTGGAGAGAGACGAGAGCAAGATCGTGGAAGATATTCTAGAACCTCGGAGAGTGGCGGCACCAGTAGTAAAACCGGATCATCCGCGGCAGTACCAGTGCAACCGAGTGGGGGAAGCCCGGAGAGCGTGGCCGACACTAGTGGCCTACGCTAGGGCACAAGGTTTCATTGAGGTGGACGGAATTCCGGGACCAGGAATGGTGTATGATCACCGGAAGAAGAGGTGGGAGGAGCTGACTGCGTTGGAGCGGGAATTAGCCATGGGATACCTGCCACGAGTGACTGCAACAGAGGGAGTAGGGGAAGAAGTGCGCGTAGCAGCTTTAGGAAGAGCCATAGATCAGCATTCGCTCAGATGGCTAATCCAGGAGATGAGAAAGGGGGCAGCCGACAGAGGAGGAAGGGCCGGAAAAGAGCGGGGACAGGGCAGTAAGCAGGCGACGTATGCAGCTGTGGGCAAGGTCACAGGAGGGAAAGAGAGTGATACCATACCAGCAGGGGGCAAGGAAGCTGACCAGAGTAAGGAGTGGGAGTTAGGGGCTGATATAGGGGAGCAGACAGCGGAAGCAGTCAGGGAAGTGCTACGGCAGCACAGGAGCACCTTCGCCTATAACCTGCAGGAACTGGGGAGGTACAAAGGAAGAGAGCTGGAGCTGAACCTCACCACGGACTTGCCTACTTACCAACAAAGAAGACGAATGAATGCAGAAGATGCTGCCATCTGCAAGGAGAAGTGTGAAGAGTTATTAGCAGCAGGGATCATCCGCCCGTCCGAGTCAAGTTACGCAGCGGCCACAGTGGTAGCTGCAAGGAAGGATATCACGAGTAAAGTGCTGGCGAAAAAGATGTGTGGAGATTTTTGGGAGCTGAACAAGATCACTAGCCTGGACAGGTGACATCCTTGACTGCCTGGAAGGCGCCATCATCTTCACTACCCTAGACCTACGATAGGGATTCAACCAAATAGCTATCAGGGAAGAGGACAAGCGAAAAACAGCATTCCACGGGGTGGACGGGTTATACGAGTGCAACGTGATGCCTTTCGGGATACGTAACGCTCCAGCAATGTTTCAGCGAGATATGGATCAAGTGCTAAAGGGGATCCCTGCGGCTGCGTGCTACATAGGAGGAGTACAGGGAGGAGTGATTACGTACGCCAGGAGGAAGAAGGGATGAATCTGGTCAAGGGTGCGGGTGACAGAGAAGGAAGGAGAGAAGGAGAATTCAGCTGCATACTTACGGGGGAGTGGGACATAGAGTTTACAAGGGAGGATTCATGACAACTGCTCTAGGCCTTGTGCCTACTCGGCCTCACCTGCTGGTTGCTTGATGTTGGAAACAAGTAATTTGAACGCTTCTGTTGTGTGTCGAAACACTAAGTCGTAAACGAGGCGAAGCATAGCGAAGCATCG